AGTTGTGTATGAGAAGAGTATCAGTAATGCATAGCATTACAATAGTCTCAAACTTCAATGAGATCTGAAGTTTTGTATTGTTTACATAACGTTGTGTAGAACAATTTCTGGAAAAACATGGTAGGTCCTTAATTCACACACTGAAGAGATAAGACCTATCGTAACTTCCTCACGAGTGACCACCAGTTAGCTACAAGGCACTTGACAGAGTTGAGCAAGTATGCATGCCCTGACTCTTCAATATCAATTTAAACAACCATGTCTAATTTAAGAAAAAAACACCTCTAAAAAAATGTTCCAACAGTTCTTCTGTCATCTTCAGTTCTGATTTATACAAAGTACAAAGTTGAATTTGAAGCATATAGCAAAATGCTCATTGGACAAAACAAACAATAGTAACAGAACAATGTATGCAATTACAAGGAAAGGTTTTAAACAACATGATAAAGTTGGTGATTAAGTGTAGGTTGCTTCTACTGAATGAGGATAATTTCTTTAATTTTGAGTTGGAAAGTTGTGGAAGCGTGTTTGTTTTGTCCAATCAGCAGTTTGTTATACACTTTAAATTAAACTTTGTATGAATCAGAACTGAAGATGACAGAACTGTTGAAACGTGTTTTTAACAAGTGTCGTTTTTCTTAAATTCATTACATATCTGCAACTATGTCTAACTGTCAATTCATATATCTCCCTCTTCTATCTCATGTTCTTTTTTCTCCATTTTTTCTTTTCATTTCTTTTAACCACTCTTTATCTTATTTTCTTTCTTTTCTTTTTTTTCATTTTATCTTGCCTCTTTTTATTCCTCTCTATTTTGTTTTCATCTTTTTCTTTTTTCTCTATTTTCTTTCATTTTCTCTTTTCTTTTTTCTCTTTGTTTTTTTTTTTTCATTTTCTCTTTTACTTTTATTTTCCTATTTCTCTCTTTTCTTTTTCATTTTCTCTACTCTCTCTTTTTAAACTTTTTTTGTGTCTTTATCTTTTATATTCACAGTAACATCATACAACCTAAGAAGCTCATACTAGGTATAATGTTCTATTATGTACTATTGCATGATACTTTTACACTTGTCACTGGAAACCTCAGTCAGCCCAGAGATACACAAGCATTAGCCACGTCATGAACAGTTGTGCATGTTCACTATGAACGATTTTTAGTTTGCACAAGGCATCTGTGGTGTCAACTTGATTGATTCTTCTATAGCACTATCAAATCACTTGCATATATATACACATATGTGGACACTTGCAATTTGGCATTCTTAATTTTTGAAGAGGTAAAGAGTAGCCATAAGAAAAGGAAACCAGAATAATACCTCACATACCATACACAGTGGATAATTTTTCCACCAAGCCACCTACCAAATCGGGATTATGCCTCACATTTTGGGACAAAATCTGTAAAAAAATGTGTCTTTGTGAAACTTCAGCATGCCTCATGTTGCCCCCCCCCACCTTGTGGGAAGTAGGTTTGGTGGTTGCCAGTGACAAGTGCATTGCAAAATACTAAAACCAATTTTAATTTACTCACTATCCTTAAAAATAAAGGGAAAATATTTAAATTAATGATAGGTCCATCAGATAATCACAATTTTTAACTCGCCATAATGTGCAACAATGTGCACACATAACACACACTGCCCAATTACACAGGCATGATGCATAAAATGTTCAGTTACACCGTTAAATTACAAGTATGTCTATACTGTCCTATTAATGCTAGGGAGATTAAAATCAAAATTAAAAGAGATTAAATATGAAAATTGTAAATACTAAAGGAACCAAATTGAATGTGATATAATGTTAAAAGTAAAAATAAAATTTATTTTTAGATTCAATTTATACATGTTTGAGCTTCAAATCATGATACAAAGATATTGCCACTATAACATATATAGTAAATTATGTCAAGAGATTGTCTCTCAAAGATTGATTGCCTAGCCATTTTTCAGGGCTTAATGTACTTTGTGCAACGAAAAGAAAATAAACTTTTGCAGGATTATCAGTGCCACCAAAAATTTCAGTTTTATGCATGATAAGGTTATATCAATGAAATAGTTCATGAACAGTTGGCTTTGAGTGACTGTAAAAATCCCAGTTTTAATCATGATTATCTTAATTAACAAAATAACCCACAGACAAACGGCTTTAAGAGACTGTAAAATAGCCAGTTTCCATCCATGATCATTTTAAATAATGAAATAGTTCATGAAGGAATGTTTTAGAGCGACTGTAAAAAAAAAAAAAAAGCAGTGAAACAGCATTAATTTTTCTGACTGTAACGAAGTGTGCAGTATGAAAGTTCTAACAGAACCCTGCAGAAGTTTGTGGAGTATATTGATAGCACCTGGGTACAAAGCACTACCTGGCCTCCCTCCTGTGGGAGCATATACAAGCAGCAGATCTACACAAATAATAATGTGGAAGGATGGCATAATGGCCTAAACAAATGTGCCTCAGGAAGAGCCCAGATGCCTCTTTACATGCTGATACACCTACTGCACAAGGAAGCCTGCCTTGTGGCCCTTCAGATTAGATTGGTCTCTGAAAGAAAATTAACAAAACTACAAAGAAAAAGTACCGCTCCCACCAAGTGAAAATATTAAGCTACTGAGCACAGTGCCCCTGCTACCAAAAGTCAGCAGCTTAACTACTCAAGGCTTGTTCCCACATCAATGGACCAATAGTTTGAAATTAAATAGAATAAGGGATTAAGGTTATTTATTCTAAAAGTTAGATTTTAGCCCTTAGAATCAAATTTGCTTTCTTTAAAACATTTGTACTTATTCATTTTGCTATTAAGCTTACATTGCATGCAAATTAGACATACATGTGAAAAAGGGAATTGCCTTATAATTTCTTTGAATACAAGGGTACACACGCACACAAACAATTTGCAGAAAGAACAAAATATAGTGAATGCGAATTGCTAATTAAATTCACAAAAAAGGGATTATATTTTTTTCAAATCAAACATTTAACTTACTTGTCCTGCAGTCTGATGTTTTCATTTTCAAGATATTTTTCCTTTGCTAGCCTTTGTGCTTGCAAGAAGAAATTGTTTTGTGTTCGTAACAAAACTTTCAAGAAACAAAGGCCAGGGGCCTAGGAAGGAGTTTTGGTCATCCATTTTGAATTTGATCTGGTTTGGTTTGGGACTACATCATGGGTGGCAAGCAGGGGAAGAAGAAAAGACCAAAATATGAGTGGTCAGCGGGGAAACAACTTAAATACTTCATATAGAGATAGATCAGTTGTAGTTGTGGAAAACAATAGTGTTATAAAGCCGAAATGCCAACAGTATACTGCGCAAAATAAACTGTTAAGCAATTTTTCAAAGTGTTGATTGCACGTATATCTTTTACTGCTGTAATAAACAATGGAGGCATTGGAAAAGGCATCAGTGGCATCTGGAAAAGCACCAACAAGAATTATAGTTACGTTTTGTAACTATAATTCTTCTTGGTGCTTTTCCAAATGCCACCGATGCCTTTTCCGATGCCTCCATTGTTTATTACAGCAGTAAAAGATGTATGTACAATCAACACTTTTGCCAAATTGCTTAACATTTTATTTAGCGAAGGTTACTGATGACATTTCGGCTTTACAACACTATTGTTTTCTGCAACTACAACTGATCTATCTCTATCTCTATCTTTATATGAGGTATTAGAGTTGTTTCCTCGCTGACCACTCGTATTTCGGTCCTTTCTTCTTCCCCCGCTCGTCGCCCGTGATGTAGTAACTCCCATTCGGTTCGGTTCGCTTCACGAGGCACTTTTTTCTCAATTGGAGATGCTGTCAACTCAGACATTTAAATATGTCTGAGTTTATTTCAATGGATAGAAAGTTTCGTTTAGCTTGGTTTTATTCCTCGACAATAGAGGCAAAGTATGTAAGCTTAAGTATCTCTTACGAGTCTCGACTCTCGACGTGTCTTATCGGAAATAATTCTAGTCAGATCAGAGATTCTTATTGTGTAATTAGTTATTTCAATTATTGTCTGGGTCTAGGTCTGGGCGAAAGAGTACAGGTCTGGGCGAAACGCTTCATGGACGCGGCGTCCGCTCTGACGAAGGGCTAACGCTCATAACGTCAGCTTTTAAAATCTTTACGATGGCAAATTTACGTTTTTCACTCGGTTGATAACACCAAATTACCCTGTTATACTCTCCCACCGACGCAGCACCACAGTTTCTCTAGAAACTTACTCCCTTTATTCGTTTGACCTAGACAATATTGGCAACGAAAAATGTGCTCGACACAAGAAACGGTCTTCACTCGCGCGCTAAAATCTTAATTTTTGTTCCACAGGACGAAATATTGAAATAAGAAACTAAAAATTAGCTTAAACGTCCTTAAAATGATTACAAAAAGGTATCTCTTTCAAAAACCTATTTCCTTTATTCCGTTTAGCTTTTTTTCTGTCCTTTCTTTTACATAAGTGATTCACAACGGAACTACCAGTAGCACCGAAGAAGCTGAGGTAACGACACAGTAAGCCATGTTTTGTTTGATTGTGAAATTAAAAAGACGTTCTTATTGCTTACAAGGTTTCGACAACTGTATCTTAGTTCACTAAGATTCACTCAAGTTAGGTGACACGTAAAACAAACGTAGAAAACAACGGTGTAACCCGCTAAAAGCAACTTAAAATAACTTACGACTGAAAGCTAAATTTGTTCACTTACAATCGAAGTTCTCTGGCTAAAAAATACCAATAAAATTAAGCATAACTTACCAATATTTCCAAGATTTTTGTAAGACCTCTTCAGTATACCACAGAGGGTGGAAAACCAACGAAAGAATCTCGCAAAAAATGGACTTTTATGCGAAGAAATCATCTTTAAAAGTCTTCATAGAGGAACGAAGTAAGAGCCTGACCAAATAGTTGGGCGTTGAGCCAAATACCCGCGCGATTTTAAAGGGAGCCAATCAGGACAAGTTGAGTAGATCACATGATTACTTTCTGGAGCGCGGAAAGCCGCATCAGATGAACAAACAGTCTTGCTAATCAGCAGTTCAACTTAAACTGTAATGGACGTCAAGTAACCCAACTGTCTAGACATGACTCGCGAAATTTCGCTAGTTTTCTTTTGTCATAGTTTTATTCTCTACTGCTTTGTTATCCGAATACTTGCACAAACAAGGTAAAATAATGATTTTAATTTTTTTCAATATTTGTTTGTAGTCACTTTTTGTGTACATGCTTTTTTCACAGGCTGGAGCCAGAAAAGCTGCTATTGAATCAGGTAAGTTTTATGGATACTACTCTCTATAAAGTAATAATAGCAATAATAATAATAATTATAATACGGATAGCTCAGTCACTATACAAAACTCAGCATGACAAAATGCTCCGCCCTGTCTATCATTTTCCTCTTGGAAAATATGGATTCGATGAATCTGATTATTCTTCTCCATGGTACATGCAATCTCATCCACAACCAAGCTAAGAAAACAACGAAGCAAATATATTATGGGACATACCATAGCAACTTGAAAAATGTCCTAAGGCCGGTGCAAACAAGCCAGATATCAGTATACTAGACAATTAGAACAAAGAATTGTCTCTAGTGGAAGGTACGATATGTATTCCAGGAACAATTGCTGAAAGAACCAAGTACAAACAGAACAAGTATGTAGACCTTAGATTGGGGATAAAGAACTTGTATCCAGGTTACAAATTGAAGCTTATCACCATAGTATTTGACTATCACCATAGTAATTGACTATCTTGGTGCATACTAAAAAGACCTAGATAAAGAACTGAATATGTTATTTGGGCCGAAAGTAGCAAGGCTAACAATTGAACGTTCCCAGAAATGGGTTATTTCACAGAACTGTGAAATTTTAAGGAGATCTTCATGCGTGTAACTATGTAAATGCATGAATATAGTGGTATAATAGTTGAAAGAACAGATTTTAGCTTTATATACTGAGCCTCTCAAGTACATGAACAATGATAATTTTTAGTTTATTTATCTCATTCAAGGGTGTATTTTTTGTTACTTTCCATTATTTTAGACATATAAATTTATACAATGTGTACATATATGTATATATTTTATATTCTAGTCCACATTGCCTAGGCTGTGCCTGCAATAATATTGATATCTACATTGAATTATTTTACCAATAAAGTTTACCATAATAATGATAATGATAATGATAATGATAATGACAATAGAGATGACAATAATAGAAAATTCCATTTTTTTGTCATCTGTTGAGTAAAATACATAGTCTAAAATTTTTGGAATCTAAACTTATCATTATAACCTAAACTTATAATATGGTATTAGTGATAATGGTAGTAATAATCATGGTAATTATAATGATAATAATGATAATAATTATGCTAGTGATAATGATAATTGTGATATAATTTCATGAAAAGTTATTTTACCTAAGATTACTGTACCTCCCTACTTGTTACAATTTTTTTATCTGATGATTTGCAATGCAAAACATTGGAGAAGACCTAATGCACTTTTAAAAAGAACTACTTGTATCTGTAGGAAGAAAACCTCTCAAACCACCGGTCTTTGGGGAAATTTGTGCAATCTTAGCAAGAATATAAAGACATTTTCAAACACAGGAAAATCTATCTTTTACCAAATGCATTCCTTTTGTAAAATCATACTGTTATGTGTCTAATCAATTCTAAGTGTGCTGGCCATATAAATTTCAAGCTCAATAATGAATCCTCTAGTACTAGGGCCACTGTAAAATGCTGCATCGCATCCTTGCAAAATTCCCAAAACTTTTGAGGTAATAAGTTGATCCTTTCTCCTCCATGATTTTGTCTGTGACTGTGTTCTATTCTTCAGGTTCTGCATCATAGAAAGACGGTCGTATACCACTTAGTGCAACTGAAACCAAGCAAAAGTTATGAGTTGCGAGTGTCATACCCTTCTACGGTACTATGCTTTGAATTATTTTGTTTTATGCGAAATTCATGGTGGGCTTGTGGTGAGTGTCACTCTTCTGATCACAAGATCCAGCTTCAAGCTGCAGATGAATCAAAGTGTTATGTTTGTGAGTAAGACATTTAGCTACCACATTTCCTCTTGTTGACCATGGATATAAATGAGTATCACAAAACTCTTAGGGTAACAAATGAAATGCGAGGGGGAGGGCTTAACACTGCAATGAACTAGCATACCATTTAGGGGGAATTGTAAAAATAGTAGTAATACTCCTAGTGTTAACCCTTTATACCCTAACATCAGTATCAATATTCTCTATACTCTTCTCTATACAATTCCTTTGATACTGAAAAGGAGAATCCATTTAACAATCACAGCTTTTGAGGTTGGTGATCTTTTTCTTTATTCTCATGATCTTAATGTTTAATTCAGCAGTATTACAGTAAGGAGAAATTAGATGCTGGTCACTCTTAGGAGTTAACAGTTAATATCACTGAAAGCAAGTTAATCCTACAAGTAGTAATGGTGTTCTAGTTTGTATGTTGAAGCAGTACTTTCTATTGGTGAGAACTAAAATCAAAAAAGAAATGGCAATCCAAACTTTATACTGTCTTTGATTTGCACTTCTTTTCTATTTTTCATGCCAGACATATACTCTCTCCCTCCCCATCTTTTTTAAGTCCTTGTTGGCCTTTTGAGGGACTTTCCTTTAAAGCAAGTTTCATTAAAGGGTGAAAAATGGACTTCAATGATTCATCACCTCACTATTTACAGTGAATCAACAGCAGCTACACAAACTGCCCACCACAGCTACTTTGTTAATTCATCTTGATGATTTTATCCTACCCCTTACTCCCCCACCCCTCCCCTCCCAACAAAAGTGTGCTTCGACACAAATTCCAACCATTTTTAGTAGTCAGATGCTGAGTAAGTTAACCCGTGTGAAATTGAATTATTTGCCCTCCCCAAAGAATTTCTCAAGATATCTCATAGCATTTGCCATGTCCTTTTTTTGTCAGACCCCAACAGATTTTCATATCCAGCTGATTCCTCACAAAGCTCTACAGGCTAGTAAAACAAGGAAACTCCTTAATATTGAAAAACTGGTTTTCAGTAATGAGTTAAAGGTATCAGTTTTACTTATATTAAATAGTTTGTAATTTTTTTTGTGTATAGTTGTGGATATATCTTCCTTAAGTTCCAAATCTAGCTGAAGTAGAGGGTATGAATATTGGGATATTCTATCTTTCACAAACTTCTGTGCTAGTACCTGGTCATTTACTCTGAACACTCTTCTAAAAGATGTGTATTGCAAGTAATTTTTATTGTCTAAAGTTATATTTAAAAACACAATTTTTCTTTGATAATGTTGAATTATGTACACTAGATCACTGAAATTTTTTCCAGAGATTTGGTAGTCATGTGGTTATGGGCTGGACTCCTCATTGAAAGGTTGTCATGCGATCTAAGTTGGTATCTGCCGGTTGGTATCCTGTCCTTGAGCAAGACACTGTATCACACAGTGCCTCTCTCCACTCAGGAGTTCAGCTGGGTGCTGGTTAACTGTCAAAGAAACCTTACCAAATGCTTGGGGTGGGATAACCTTGTCATGGACCAGAAACCCTTCTAGGGTGGTGGGGAAGTAGGAAAATTTTTAGTCATTTATTGTAGCTATGAAAACCAACTTGAGGGTTTTGATATGTGTTGTTCTTCATGTTGGGCAGCCTACATAGATTTTAACGAAAGATAATTTTTACTGAACTTTCAGGAACAATATGCAAATGTCACAGCAGTCAGAACTGGAATTCCTTACAATCCTGCAAGTTTAGCTGAACCTGTAGTTTACAATATAGGCAAGCAGACATTTCTAACTTTTCATCATTCACTGATCACAGTATTACTGAAAAAATTGCATGAAAAGCTAATTACCTCTTCCTGCTATTAGTGATGAAGAGGGATCCTCGATTAGCAGAGTTTAACATTTTGTTGCTTTTATTTGTAGTTAAATTACTTTGCCAGGGACTTATGAATTCTTGAAGATCTCTTTTCTTAACTTTCTTGTGATTTTTTATTCAATATGTTTGTGACAAATTGTCACAAAAGGAACCCAAGAAATTATTTGATTGTTCCAGTTGTTTCTTTATCCTCCTTCTCACCTGGGGGTTTTAGTTAAGCCACCAGGGGTTCCTTCTTCCCTCATTAAAGATGTCCAAACAGATTCACTGTCTTTTTTGTTTACTGTGTTGTGCAAGACTGGTGTAAATTTATATTAATACATTAACTGTCATGTTTATTTTCCTTCAGTGCTTGAAGAGCTCTTATTGGGAATTCCTTGGCATACATGGAGGCTTGGTGTTCTTGTTCTTCTTATTGTGTATATAACTTTCAAATATCTTGTTCCCCACTTCCTAATGTATATTGAAGAAAATGTAAGAATATATGGCAAAAGATAATAGTTTTGCAATAAATTTTATTGGTTCTCTCAGATCATTTATTGTCCTGTGTTGTATTAGTATTCATTTGTTCCTGTAATAAGCTGAATTACACACTCAGGCATTTTGATTGCTTCTTCCTTATGATCTTCAATCTAGAGGACAGACATGTAGATAATGTCACTATTGTCAATTTTTTTGTTTTGTTTTTAACATGCTAAACATTTAGATTCCAAGTTGCCATGGGTCTGTTCAGTGATAGATCACAGAAAACATCAAAATTTGGTAAGAACATCAATGATACACTCAGCTGTGCCTTGTGTGCCACTGTTTTGTCTTACCACAATTTTACATCATCTGTGATTTATTACTGACCAGGTGTATGGCAACATGGAATCCCTTTGTTAAACTGTCTGCTCAGTACAAATGTTGTTTCAGTAATTAGAAGAGAAAAATTTAAAAAAAAATGATCGACCCATGCAAAGTTCCTTGGGGAAATATAATGTTGTTTAGTTCTCCCATAGCAATCCAGAAGATGGATGAAATCAGTAAGAACTAAATTGAAACATTTGCTGTGTTTCAGATTGTCTTGTTTTGACTTCTTAATGCCTCAGAGTGACTTATCTTTTAATGTCTTCTGATAATATCACCATTAAATCAAACACCAAGATCATGAGAAAAAGAAATGATACCCATGTTGGGAAGCTTTTGATTATTTCACAACTTCTCCTTGTGAGGTGGGAAAGGTATGGAGGATAAGCTTGTTCATGGTTGCATGCAAAGGTTGACTTTTATTTGTCTATGACTAGTATCATTGTGTTAAATCAGAGACAAGGGAAAATATAAGTAAAACAATTGCCCTGAAGGAGGCCTAACTCACTAAGCATCTGCTTTAGAAGGCCTTTATGATGGCCAATCAATGTTTAACAACTTGGTTGATAAAACCAAACTATTTTGTTAAGTTGAACAGGACATTTGATGAACTTAACTTGACCCTATTCTCCTATATCTGCATCATGATACCATGTATGAATGATCAAAACCAAACTGTTAGTACTGCAATGACTTTTGTCTTGAATTTTTTTCTCCCATATGAAATGGATGGACAAATCAAGGGGTGGACATGTAGCTTTTGTTGAAATTTGTCTACAAAGATAAAGGGAACAATAGTACACTCCAAAACAATTTTTATCATTGCTTGATTTTTAATAAAATACTTTGTACATGATTACAACTGTATTTACAATTTTGTTACTGCCAGCAGCAGGGTTTCTTTTAACTTTTTTCTTTGCTATTTAACCTAAATAACATATACCTTCAAGATAATTCTTAACCACTTTTCCTCAAGAGTGTGGAGCTGGTCACAATTAAACAAAACCAAAAAAAAGGAATCAGGTTGACATAAAACTGGTGCTTGGGTTTTCATTAAAAGAAAGGATTAGCAATGTAAATAACTCTGTGTTTCTCAATGGTTTCAATGTCTCTTTCTAATTGTTTCATTTCTGCCTCCATTCTCTCTTTTCGGGCCTTCTTTGGTGCTGTATCAGTAACGACAGAAAGTCCTTGATATTGGTGGTGAAGTTCCTCCCAGTTCTTTTTTAGTCCATCAAGTATTCCTTGCCTGTAAAATTAAATAAAATATAAATACAATAAATAATTACATGATGCAATATAATGGTAAAAATATATGAAAATTTAAGAACTTCAAAAGGCAAGTGTCCAGCTACTTTCAATGGCGTTTTAAATCTAAAAATAATGCACAGTTTAGATCAATAACGCCACATAGGTAACACTCAATTCAACAAATCAAGTTCACATAAAGTCCATCATCTAAATCATCTGAAAACTTTTCATGAATTTAGATTGGGCTGCCAATCTAAATTCATGAAAAGTGAAGCAATAATAAGGAATAATACACCTCATAACCTACAATAGAAACGATCAGTTCAGGTGATAGCTAGTATTAAAAAACCCTTGTCAATCACCTCTCTTCTTCTGTCAAATTTTTCATTGCTCCTTGTCTACATCTCTCTTGTACATAAGCATCATACTCCATCTGTGCTCTCTCTACTTCAGCCTTCCTTTTTTCCAGATAAGCTGGGGTCTTGCCATAATCTTTCTTGTTCACATATTTTGGTGTGAGACCTGATGGGACCAGTTGATGTGTGGCTCCTCCACGTGTGTCCACGAATTTTTTCTCAGGCATCTTGGGCACAGACATGATATTCTCCACAGCATTTGTTGTAATATGATTTTTTGTGGAATGTAATCCCATTAGAGGTTTTTCTGTGTGTTTTGGGACTGGGGGACGTCTTTTATCATGGTCAGGATACGTGAAGTCAGTTTCTAAAAGAAATAGTTGAGTTAATTATTGAGAATGCTATTCTGTACACAGCTTTTTCAATAAAGACTTCATATGTTTCCTGGAAAAGCTTGTGTGATCTACAGACTGCGGAAAGAATTATGAAACTACTCCTTCTTACTCAACACACGATTACACTAAAGCATTTTTAAAGCTACAAATAACTATTTTTGATGACTGAGAAGGTTTCTCTGTCAATAAGTAAACTTCGCAATTAATCACTGTTATTTAAAGATCTTTGCTTACTTTCTGGCAGCTTGAACTCCTTGGAATGTTTAGCCAAAAAATCCTTGGGTTCTGTGACAGCTACTTTCGCTGGGCCCTGAGGAGGACAGAGGAAAATTTCAGTCAATGCACGATGAAATACGATTGCATACAACCACAGATCAACTGCACAAGACTCACATGGTAACGGAGGTCATTTCCTAACAACAAACGCTTACCATGGTTTTAGAGCTTTGCTTCTTCGTCTTCTGCTCCTGTTTCACGGTTGAAGCAAAATTAGAGCGATACCTGAGGAAGTAAATTACTCAGGAGATCAAGGCCATGCTTAAAGTGAAACGAAAGGCAACGAAAACTTAAATTTTAAGTTAAGATGCAAAATTTCGCAATCGCGGTAAACTTGACAAAGATCAAGGGCCGCGTCGAAATAAAACTTACATTGAAGGCTTTGGAGGCCTCTCTTGAATCTTTGGAATCAAATTGTATATACTTTCTACATAATCTTCTCCTCGCCGTGAAGACACTTGCATAGCCATGGCTGATTTCTTGGTATAACAAACCTAAACCTGTGGTTGGCTCCTCAACACTCACAAAGATGGCGGAGTCTTTACTTATAAAACATACGGGTGTTGACTGCCTGTTGCTAGGCAATGATTCTGATCATGTGGTCTCACTGCGTTTTCGATATCGCTGCCTGGCAACAGGGAGTCATTCCCAGCTTTAATTTGGAAATTCTAGGCTTCGGAGGCTTGGGATACAATGACTTGCGACCAGGCCTTTTATTTTCAATTGGAGCCAGAAAATCGCTGAAATACTTCTGAAGGTGTTGAAAAGTATTGTTAACAGGTTTTCTACTGCAAACCACTTGAGAACAGCGAGAATGATTGGCAAAAGGAGATGAATTTACAAGACAATACAACCCTGCTCAGCTGAGCGCTCTAGTAGTAGCTCAACCCACATGATTTACGACTGGGGTGAGTTAGTCGCTACACTAATCTCGTTTTCGGGGTACAATAAGGAGGCTGAGAACCAGCGCCCCTTGACTGGTTAACCAGAGGATAAGCTGCACACGAAAACGTTTGTTTTTTTATTGAACTGCAATTCACTTGGGAATTAGAGCTACTTTTGCTATGAAAAGCTTGCCTCGATAAATAAAAAAGAACGTTTTCTTTTTTTTCCTGGCAACTAATTTGCCTAACCTCTTGCCGTTGAGCATATTTTAGAGGGGTTACATACATGTTGTTTGGATTTCAGTACAAATTGAGGGAAAGGCAGAAAATTGCTTTCCCAAATCTACAGAAGTTACGAACCCCCTAGACGGAGAATATTCAAACGCATTTCTTGTAACGAAGATGGAATTATTTCCATCAAAACAGACTTCCATTCTAGGAATTCCTGGTGAAAACCCAACAGAAATTAGTAAAACCTATACAGAGCCTTCAAGAGGAAACATATCAATTAGTTACTCTCATCTGAAAAGCTTGTGTTGGTTAGAAAGAGTTGAATCAAACGAACATTACGAACAACCTCTTGCAAAGGTTAGATCAAGTTCGCGATGGACATTTAACCGCCAAATACGTACTGCATTTCGAACAAGGTGCTGGAACAAGGGGTTCACTGAAGTCTCGGAAAGCGGACCAAGGGCCGCGCTGGAGGTAGTTTACCTGAGGTTACTCTGCTCAATCTCCACACATACTTTCGCTTTGCACCGTTGTTGTAATCACTTTGGTTTTGGTTTAACGAAATACACCCGAAAAGCGCTCCTATGCAACACGTGACATGAACGACAACTTCGACACGTTTTATTCTGTATTCAATCACAGATAAGCTTACATGAATCAAAGATCTACCTCTCGAAAAATTTCCTGAGCGCGAAGTTAAGAATTTATCAGTCAGTCTGAGAGATAGTTCAGAGAGCGCATGAGGATTACTCAGTAGTTTCAACCTCGAGAAATACCATCTTCAGCATTTTTGCGTTTTTCTTTTAGGTCTAAGCGCTAACTTTCTCTGAGAAATAGACGCAATTCTCATTCGACCCGGGTCAGTCTAGGCCCAGGCCTCAGAGGCTAAAAAAAACAAGGCGGACTGTAACCGAACACGCGTTCAATTTTAAAGAATCCACACACGCGCTTAGCCGGAAGACGAACTGTTCGACCAGGTAGAGTGCTAAACCATGAGCATAGGCACCTTTGTTTGCCTAGGCATACATGTAGGTTAACACTCGCGAGGCAAATTTTCTTTAAGTAGAGATAATGGGGACTGATTTGTTTCAATAATGTAACCTCGTCTTTAAACCTTCCCAAAACAAAGGAAGCCCAAATTTGTGATCACTACGCAGATATTTAACAATTAATACGTACAGACGTTCCATAATTGCACAGAGGGCATGAAAGCTGATGAAGTAATAAAATCACGTTCCTGTTAATCATTTGTTGGTCTAGTGTATTCAATAACTCACAGGGATTATTAGTTTTGCCACTTTTTAAGAACTTGCGACTACATTTTCGTATTTATACGCAAACTGTTTCAATTCAATTTCGAGCCCTGAACGCAGGAAACGAAGAAAAGCGCAAACTAACCTAAAACAAAATCTTCAAGTTCTGCTATGTACAGCGTGGCACGTGCACGCTTTCTACAAAGGTTAAAATGTTAAATTACTAAGTGCATGATGATGCTATGTCAGAAAATGTTCAGCGCAGAGCCATTGCCTTGATATCTTCCTCAGATCAGAGGAAATAGGATAGTTCGGATCTTGAGAAATGGTTCTTTTCATCACTGGGTGCTGTAGGATATGCTGCTACCAGAGCATCCTAAAAGGAGACAAAAAGCGGTGACTTAGCTAAAAATTTCTGAATAACACATAAATGAAAACACGACTAAGACGGAGGAGGATATATGGTAAGAGTAAACGTTAGTGACAGTTTTACCTGTGATCCAATATACAAGCTGTTGTAAATCTTCCAGTAGACATCTCGAACCTTTCGCGCCGGATGAAACATTCCCTGGGAAATGTAACGATAAAAACGTAAGATGAAAAGCTTTTTTCAAAGATTTATCCATCACAAAACTATCGATAAGCCACGACATGTAACGCAACGTAACATTACATGGAAGATGTAAAGTTAATCGAAAGAAACAATACCCTTTTGACATGGTGCAAGAGAAATGATTGGCAGTAGTAAACAGATTCAACTCACGTCAAAAACAAAAACTTCGAAGGAGAAAACCTCTACAATATTATCGCATAGCAAAGAGTTTTATAGCCTCTCACCTGTAAACAATATTGAAGTACTTTAGAAGGTCCTAAAGCCACTCTCATGCCTTCGATAGACTCCATCACTGCGTTCACGACATGAGGCGACGTCTCAAAGATGTTGGGCCACACGTAATTCATAAGATGAGTGAGAGCATCTTCACAGCCAAAGCCTGACACTCCCAAGGCCATGTGCTTTATTGCGGCACACGCTGTTTGGCGATGAACCAGATCTCTGAAAGGATTGGAAGACCAGTCGTAAGAATAAGTAACTAATACGCATGAAAAGGTCATTCTGTTATGAACGAAGACTGACAATAACTAATCCTATGAGGGTCATTGCAGATACCGTAAACGGCTGAATAAGCCCCTGTCTAAAATTTAGAGATTCTACAAAGCCCCCCCTCACCCGTTTCAATGACCTGGAAATAAATCAGTCCCTCCCCACCCCCCGTCGGCTCTCGGAGCGTTGACGATCCTTATACTGAAGTAAACCTGCCAGCCCGCCTAAATTTAGCTAAAGATTTCGGTCCATTTTCTGTTTGGAGGATACAGAAACCAATTACAATTTGTTGGTATATATCCCTTTACAGAGCGCCGTTAAATTAAGTGTTTGAACAGCACAGTCTGATTGATTATGGGGATGGTACGAGTTTTCAGGCTCGATCAAAGTATGAAACCGCCGAGAATCCTCGTTGCGACGCTCAAAAAGAGATGCTCTATAAAACTTTTAGTTACAAAACGCTTCACAGGTGTGTCTAACCTGTCCATGAGAGCATCTTCCAATAAAGGTGTCACGGCATAGATGTAATCTTTTCCCATTTCGCCAATGTATTCAAACAAGAACGACAGTGACTTGAGGACGCCATTTTGGACGTTCAGCTCTGGGACACGGTATTCATTCATTAGGGCTGGTAGAACAGTGAATGGCGAGCATGTCTCTGCAACAATGGCGATAGCGACAGTGGTGCACACTCTGTTCTGCCGTTCCTGCACTTTCAAGTTGTTGAGCAGAGTGGCGAGTACATCTTGAGGACTAAACGACAGGAAAAGATAACATGGAATTGAGTGAGAAGACGTCGGTATTAATCAACAAAACACTTAAAATTTTTGTTTATGCGACTTAGTGTAACTCAAAGAACAATCTCTGGCCAAACAACATATATATGCCAGAGATTTTCCTTCACAAATGGAAAATGTTTAAAATTTCACAAAAAAGATAAAGTTTGCATTGACTAAATTATTTTTGTTTTCGTTTCCAAACCTCTGTTTATAGGAAATTAGCAGACATGGGCATTGAAAAAAAATGATAAAATTTCTTTTACAGGATGTCCGTAATACGAAGAAAAATATCACGACGAGTAAGCAGCCGAATGTGTCAACTAACCTAAAAGCGAAGACATGAAACATAGTGGGGACCGTTGGGCAACAATTGCAGAACTGGCTTAGCTTTGCAGTAAGTAACTTACCCAATTGCCTTGGCGATATATCCAAAGGTGTTGACAGTAGCTCTTCTGATAGCTTTCTTGTGGGCCTTCAGCAGTTCAAGGAGCTCAAAACAAATTCTCATCCACTCACGCGCACCGACATGTTCTGCTCCTCTGTCTGCAATCCTACCAACCAAGTCGATACAGTTCTCCTGAACCTTCTCGTGTCTGGTGAAGGAAAAGACCAGATGTAAAGATGATTTCTAGCTCTCTATGAGCCTTTGTAACATCGATATTTCGAAGTGCTAGAATGTGAAGCGAAAATTTTCCTTCAAAGTAACAGACACTACATAATATCAGCTTGTTTTAATATCCGTTTTCTCAATCCGATGTCTCATTTTTATATGCAAATTTTTCAGTGGCTTTTAATAACGTTCAACAAAGCTTCAGTGTTCGTCATTGCTCGCGCTACAAGGTCGTGCTTCCTTTGGTAAGATAGGAAAAAACATAAAATGGAAAAACCCGCACCTGTTCTTGAGAATGGGTGTGAGTCTCGGCAAAAGATCTTTGATGGGTGGAGTCATTTTGTTCATTCCAATAACGTTGACAATTGCCTATAAACAAACAAATCACTAATGGTTAGTATCCGGTCTTCACATAAGCAACGCTCTTTTAAAAACTATTTACTGTTCGTTCATGCCAACAGAACTGTAAAATCCAAAGCTAATTATTCTTGCCGATCGCCATCTCTTTGTCTGTAAATCTTGAGCAGTTTTGAAAATGAACTAACGACGTAAAGGGGATTCATAATAGAGAGTCTTCCCAATAGTAGTGGTGCAATTTTCGAGCGCAAAGTTTTGCATCGAATATGTTGGAAATAGAAACTTGTCGATGAATCTTGTCCAGGAAAAGACGCTGGAGTAGAATTACTCTTACTCAGTTCAAAATTTTACTGACAAGAGTCTCGGTGAATTAGTCTATTTCGACAAATTTTGTCCCTTACAAACTTTTCCTCAACAATTACACTTGCACAAGATCTGGCCGGAAATTTACAGTTGTAAATTTAAAATTTACATTTCAGGGCGTGAAATTAATTTTTTTTTTTCTGAGCCACTCGGTGAATTAGTCTATTTTGGTCGCCATTTTCAAAGACAAACAAAACCTTTTTTTACGTGTCATCGTTCTAGAAATTTTTCCTTTACAAAGTGGACATTATGGATGATATGCAACGTTCAAGCTCACCTAAATCTACTAAGTTATCGATCTGAGACGCATGTGCTGCGTTTTGAAACAAACTTAACGAGGAAGTTTGCTAAATTTATCTTTGCAAATTTCACTATTTCGCAATTTATGATGAAACATTCTAGTCGCCAATTTGGCGACTAATTTTCAGGATTTGGTCGCCAAAGTGAAAGATTTAGTCGTATTGGCGCCTGTATTAGGCGCAATTTCACGCCCTGCATTTGCAATTTGTATAGGTAATGACACGATTTCGATTGCAATTTGGTGTTAATAAGCATGAGTAAATTTTTCAAAGACAACAAAAATTCACGAGCCGTAGGGCAAATGCAATTTGCTGTCTTTGGAGAATTTACAAGTGCTTTATTACACCACATAGCACGAGAAATCATTTAATTACCTATTAGTAATGTAAATGAAAAAACATCGCAGAGTCAAGACACGTAAATTTCTACAACACGCTATTTGTAATTTGCACTCACGTTACAACTTTGCACTCGTGTTACAGGAGACTGCACTCGTTTTCAGCCAATCAGAGCGAGTAATTTTTTAATGTACATTATTAACAATGTAAAGGAAACTTTTCTGGAGTTAAAGCGGTTTCATAGAAAATTCACTGTTTTAGGTGATGTTAAACAAATCCTTTTACTATAATTTCCTATAAGTGTGTTTGCTCACCTTAAGGGCCCCCAAGATACTCCCCAGTACTTCAGGGTACTCTTCTCCAAGGTACTCGTACAGTACGACACCTAAGTGACCCATGAGCTTCTCCTGTAGACAAAGACAATTCCATGTTACGTTAGATAAGAAAAAAAGAAAGAAGAGATAACAGAAACGTTTTGGAAATGTTCATAGTGTTATAAATGATCATACTAACGATCGGGACCTGCGAGGCAATTAGTAAGAAGTAACCATTGATGTTGATAGCTCGCCCGTTGGCTGTATAATGTAGAGAAATTACAGGACGTTACAAATTATTCTCTCCACGGATTTCAGGACTTAATAAGCTTCAAAATTTTCGCTTTTTCCTTGCGTACTCCGATCTTCCTTCTACTTCGCGTAAGGCAGATTAGTGACTTTATCATATGAAAGACTTGTTGATAGTGAAGTCTGAACGTTAGGGTAAGAGTAGTACGGAAAGGGAATATTGTCGGTAATAGTGACTGACGTTTGACAACCTAAGTGAAAGTCATCAACAAAGCAAGAAACAGAGAAAAAGTAGAAAAAGAATATCACTCTGAAACATATACTTGCCTCTCCGCAGGTCATCATGACTTGAGCGATCCTTGATATGAGATCAGCAGCCTGTTGTCTGACCTTAGCTGATTTGTTGTTTAATCTCCACAGGATTGTACCACAGATCTGAGGCAGGTATGGCTTAACACGCTTACCCAGTGCATTCACCACTGTACCGAAACCATTCAACATAACGATGTCCTAAGGAGAACAAATGAGTAAAGGTCAGTGAAAAATCAGCATTTTCACAAAAGGCCACAACACAAAATTAGAGAGAAAATGTGATTAGGCGAGAAGCTAGTGAAAGAACAGAAAACGCATCATTGTTCACCAAATATCCTCACGGAAATGAGAATTCTGCTGGACAAATAATGAGGTATCAACCCTTAGAAACCGAAAGCTAGTTCTTCTAGTTGATATTTATTTTTTTGTTTGTTTGCTGTTTCAAAAAATTTAGTGTTTTATCGAGACAAATGAGCTAGCCAGCTAGCAGGCCCTCTTTATTAGCGCTCTAAGAGGCGAGTTTCTCCGCCCGCGGGAGGATTGGAGACGAGCAGGGGAGAGGTTTTTCGGGGGTCTGGCGCTAATAATGCTCATTTTCAGTGTTGGACCTCTTGCAAACCTCACTCGCCTCATACTTTCCAGCGGGCGAAGAAGCAGTCGTGCCGAAGCACTTATAACGAGCGCCTGCTCTCAGGCTACAACTTAGCTGATTTTTGTTTTTAAAGTTCTCATTACCTGTCTTTGACAGAGTATCGAAATGCTATGGAGAGTTTGTGCGGTAGTCACTCTTGGAGTGAAAAAACAAAACAAAACAAAACAAACAAAACAAACAAACAAAAGGTAATTACCTCCTGAGTTTGTTCTTGAAAGGCATACAGGATTCCGTCAATAAGCTGTTCCTCAAGACGGGAATCAACATCGGATGAGCCCAGGTTACCCATGGTCTGAAAATAAAAACCATTAAAGTTTTTTTTTCAAAATCATCCAGAAAACAAACAAGAAGCAAAACAATAACAATATACAGAACGTCATAAATGGTGGTCTCAAGAACAGTGACCTTATAGGACGTGTGAGCGCATGATACATATAGTGTAATTTTGCTTGGGACATTTGATCTAGTTTTGAGTTGGAAAAAAGCACGACGAAAGATTTGGTGTAATTTTGGGGCTAAGTTTTCGGTTCTGTCAGAAGTTTCGGTCCTCTTTTTGCCACGAAATTGTTCGTGGAATTCAATTAATGATTTAACTCGAAACCATATGGTAGGAACTGGCTTTCTGACGTTAGGGTGGTGAGAAATAATATGGTAAAAGTTACCTTTTCAATTGTTTCCATGACCATTTTTCGGTACTGTTCATTTTCATCTTTGAGATCGTCCACTATTCGGTTGATGATCTCAGATGCTCCGACTTTGTTAGCCAGTTCCACAGTTGTATCCACTAGCTGTCAAAATTATACATAATATGCAATGCCATTTAAATTCTGAGATTGGAATACTGTATACATTAGTATTACTTGGTGCTTGAAAACGGATTACAAAACCCATTCTAAAACAAAAGCTTCTCTTAAAGAAAAAAGTGAGAACTGATGTTTTATATTATGTTGACGCTGCAGACACTGGAAAAGAAGATCGAGAAATAACGTTTCTAAGACGCTTATTACTTTTCTGACAATGATAACAAGATGCTTACAAAAATTTAACTCTTCAAGACCCTAAATTTCAGACTACTCTGGCTAAGTTACTTTTAATACAATTTGAGCACAATGCATACATATCATGAACTTGACTGACCTGTCTGTAATTTCTCCTATCCAATGCCATCCTGTGCTGCCAGAAATGTTTGAAGAAATCTGGTAAAATCTCATCTTTGATGTACTGCGGTTCAACACCATCCGTGGCACAGCACTGCTTCACTACCTGCAAACCAGACAAGCCAAAAGGATATTAGCCAGCTACTAAACATGCGCAGTGATACAACTTGATTTTCTGTTTTGTTATCTTGCACTTGGGTTTATAACAAAGTTCGCAATGTTAAGTTGGTGGACCATTTCTGAAGTATGTTAACCAATCAACCCGATTTCAAGAAAAACAAGAATTCTTTAGCTGTTTTACCTTCAACACAATCTTTTTCATTTCTTCGTCAGGGCTCTGAAACTCACGAATCAAGATCAGCATCACTTCTCTGGTATAGTAGTTGGCATACTCTGCATCCATGAGCGGAATAAGGTATCCAATAGCCTTCAGAAAGGCAGCCAGACCCTACAAAAACACATTTGAAGTATGCAATGGTATGAAAAACCTTCACCCTTTTTATTCAACCCACGTCCAAATCTCTGGACACAAAACAGTGATAAATGCAGAATAGATAAGGCAGCAAAGTGTCTCTCTCAAATACGTTACTTTTGAAGAAACAATAAGGTAAGATTTTGTGTGCAACATCTTCATTTTCCAGATTCAAAGTTTTCAGCCAAACCACAAGGCCTGTGTAGAAGATTTTAAGTTAATGCACACTGTAGTCAATAGTTGACCCCAAATTCAAAATTTTCAGACCTTGTACAATAACATTTGGCCAAGGAAATTTGAGAGATATTTACTTCAGCAGAATTGGATCTCAACAAGAATTGACCACTTCTTGCACCTTGGAAAAACATCCAGACATCTTGCTATTTTATAAACACTTCATCTGTATTATCCATGCTTATTAGAGGCCTTATAAGTGTTTAAATTTCTGTAGTTTCTAGAAAATCCAAGACTCTCCACTAAGCTCTGTGGCATATTCTTTTAAAAAGTTACCTTTCCTCTGTGTTGTCTTATACCCTTCCACAAGGGCTTCAGAACACTATCAAAGGACTCAATACCATAGGGTGTAGCAGCTTCAGCCAGGGCAGCCAAGGCAAGAGCAGTGATAGTTCGCACCTTCTGCTGTTCATCAACCAAACCTAACAAAGCAGCCAAGATATATATATATATATATATTTCAAGAGTGTTACTCATCCACAGAATACCCATAAAGGTATTACTTGGTGCATTACTAGTAAACATTTCTTTGTAACTCAGATTAAATAATTTGGTGAAAAATCGAGAACAATCCCCTTGCCTGAAAGCCTGTCTGCTCCCATCATGGTTTGCAGGATAATGTAGTAAAATTGAAAGGAGAAATTGCATGTTTGTCCTTTCTGGATGTTCATCAGTAGCTATGCTATTACATTCTTCCATCCAGACATTATCTACTCTTTCCACAATACAGGGGACAATATCTCTATGTTCTAAATATGGTATCTTTGATAGATGTAACTCCCTTTACTATTTTGTTGGTAGAGTCTAGAAGAAAGCTATAGCTAACACTGCGCAGTAAGTGTGGATAAGATAGTTTAAGATAGTTACCATAATTTCTCCCCATTTACAGCCAGAAGCTTTAAAAATTATTGCATTACCTGCACCTTCCTATAACCCGCACTAACAACTGTTTGTGGAAAAATTAATAGATTACCCGTGGGTAATCGGCTGGAAATTATGGTAAATGATATCAATCTACCTAAGAATTTTGTACTGCATAGGGCTATACATTGTGTCATTTGCTCTTTTGAGCTTTCAATCTTAAAATCTTCTCTACAACCTCTCTTACCATGTTCAATAATCTCCACTAAGTTTCTCAAATGAGGCAAGATAGCACATCCCATCAAAATGGCTATCTGCTGGACAATTTTGATTCCAGTGTGACGTGCTTGCCATGATTTCTTGCTGCGACATACAGCTTTTAAGAATGGTAACAAGGAAGGAATACCAAGAGCTGAAGCTACAACTGCAAAAGCTCTGCAATGAATAGATCACAACAGTCATGTAAGTTGTACATGTACATTTACATCAACATATATGATTGGAGATAAAAAACTAAACACAAACTTTTATTGACTAATATGTATGGAGCTTACCTTGCTGTTGTGTTACGGACATACTCATCAATATTATCAATATCAGGTCTCATGGTAGAGATCATTGTAGCCAAACCAGCAGCCTAAAAGACAGATAAACATTAGCAATATAGCAAATCATCTTTTCCACTTCATATTTACATGACATTTGATCAGTCTTTGTGGGCCACACATTAGAAAATTGTACAATATTCAACACGGCTTAATTATTGCACAAGCTGATTTCTTCTCTTTATGAGTTGTTTAAGTCTCTATGAAGGAAGACACCTTCCTTGAAATGAAAAAGAAAAAAAAGGAAAGAAAAAACAACAATCTTATACCACCCTAAAAGAGAAAATAAGATTGTTTCAGAAAGAGAAAAATGAATCCTATACTAACCTTAGCTAAGTTGGAAATAATTTCACGTCCCTCCACTCTAGCATAGTAGTCTTCATCAATCAAAAGTGGCTCAATAACCACAAGGATCTGCAAGAGATAAGGCCAAGTTCAGTAAATGGCATGAATATAAAGAGCATACTACCTAAGAAAAAGATGCACTGAAGCATAGCAACCATTTAGCTTACCTTATGGACAAATGGACGAACAAGATCATCAAGTTTGTACAGAATTCTGTCAATGACCTTCACCAACAAATGACGTTCCTGTAAACAAAAAAAACTCCTTCATCAGAGAGATGAAAATGATTGAATCATCAAAAGTAAAAATGAGCAAGGACAGCTGTAGACAATTTTTAAAAAATCTTTACATTTAACAAAAATTCAGGCTTAAGAGTTCAGATTTCATGTACAGATGTACACATGAGTGCATGCTAGCTATTTCAGTGTGTACACAATTTCACAAAGTATCTAGGAATTTATTTTCTTCCAAGCAAGCACGTGATGAATGGACAGAGGCCATTACTATCAGGAAGTTGAGGGTCCAAGTACTTATGTTTTAGTTTAAAATGGTTTTAAAATAGATCAGTTTTTTCTTTGATCCTGCTATGTTACCAAAGTAATTAACCAAAAGAACCCACATCAAACTGTTTTTAAATCATATAAACTATGCCTAAAATACAAGTGCATGCAAAGAACTGCCCAACTTCACCAAATAAATATAAATTCCATTTCACACTGAGCATCAAAAGAACAAAAGCAGAAGTTTGTTCAAATTTTACGTCACCTGATCTTCAAGTGTAGGAGACATAAGAAGAGGTAGGATCTGGTTGAACAGTGGACCTGCTCCAAACTCACGAGCTTTGTCTGTGATCTGACGCAAGGCAGCCTTTCTCATGGGTGGAGTGCCATTTTTAATCTTCAGTAAGAGTTTCATGATCTTTCTTTCCTTCAACTCTTCTGGACTAAGAGTGCTCTCATCAACATCCACCTGTTGATATCATGAGGCCGGGTGAGACACAGCACAGTTTAAACAAATTCAAAAATCTATTATTTAGTTATTTTTTCCAAATAGAACAAAATACTCTTGGGTGTGTTTTACTTTATAACCATTATTGTACACTCTCTTGCCTCCTTCAAGTCATCAGCACAGAAATTCAACTAACAATATACGTACTGTCCTGAAGAAAAGTAATAAGATTTTAAAAAAGGTATCAACTAACAGTTCTTTTTTTCAGTAAAACGTGTGGGAGCTGCTGCTTGTATGTCTACACCGATAAAGTCTTGGGCTTTTTCAACTTACCAGCAGCTTATCAAAGTACTGTACATCATCTGGTTTCAAGTAGGGCAAGTTACCAGGTGGTTGATCTTCAACCAGTTTGGCTGATCTGTCTTCTTGCTGCATTAACAAATAAAAAGAAAACAATTAGTCACAAGTGAAATATTTCAACAACAGCATAAGCGTTATCTTGAATAAATTCCACATGACAGAGATGAGATGGTATCATATCAACAAGCCATATAATCTTTCCAACATTTTAAATGGATAGTGTGGATGACAAGAAAGGAAGTCAGTATCACATACCTGGATGAAAAAGCCACTTCCCCCTATAGGGGTGGGAGTGGCTGTTAGCTTACGGCTTGGAGTTCTGATAGGCTGATAGCCTGGAGGTGGCTCAAGAATCTAAAAGATAAAATGTTGATCATCAGGGCCCAGTTGTTCAGAGACTGATTAGCACTAACCAAGGGTTAACTTTCAATCCAGGTTTCTTTATTCCTTTGTTCAAAAGCCTTTTTTGGATAATATTCTCTGTTCTTTTTAGAGCATAAAATAATCAAATTGTAGATGAAAAAAATTATAGTGAACTTCCTTTTAAAGCTTTCAGATCTGGAATAAGATTTCATACCAACCCTGGGTTATCTTAACCCCACTTTAAACAACCTGGCCCAGGTTTATGGAAAGTTTGAAAGAAACAAGAAACAAGAAACAAGAAACTGGTGGTAACCAGTAATTTGTGAAGTGCAGTCAAGTCTTGTTCTCTTCTCACTTGAAGATTTTAAGGTCTTTTTGTGTCATTTTATTGCACATGCATTGGAAAAGGACCACAAGTTTTGAAAGCATTACTAGTACATGTTTAAAACAATAAGAGTGAAACATTTAAACAGTTACCAAATGAAGACTGGTTCAGATAAAGTCCACACCATTCCACAGAATTGACTTCAAATCTGCTTGAGAATAGTCTGCTTCTTTGTGAAGCTCAAAGGCAAAAAAAGAAAGGGAAAAACCCTTTTTCCCCCCTAATTAATTCAAAATAAGAACAAAACACTCATACCTTGTATCCCTCTTTTGGGAAAAATGAATCCAGTTCATCATCAGAAAGGTACCTGTTCCTTTCATCAATTTCTCTCTCCCAGCGATATGCCTGCATCTGCTCTGGTGTCATAGCCATCTGTCCTGGGGTAGGTGTCTGCATCTGCATGGCTGCAGGTCCAGCTGGTGTCACGCCACTAGTACCTATCATCGGGGTGGTGCCACCCATTTGACTGGCAGGTGTCTCATCCCATCGTGAACGTCGCTTACTTCCTGGAGTAGGTGTGGCTCCAGGTGTCTCAGCACCAGTGCGATCTGTTCTAGGAGTTTCTGCCCAGCCTGGAGTGGCATGACCTGGAGTGGCATGACCTGGAGTTTCACCTTTGAGGAGAAAAGCCGTCCATAAACATCAGCATGTTATTTTTCATTTATATCTTGTGTTCAATTTTCCAAGTTTATGGAGGATCAATTGTCTCAATATACTTCAATCTTTTCTATAATAATTACTCTCTAACATTTTGGTAATGTATTGTGATCCTGCTAGCCTAAAGGAACTCGCACTGTTCAGGAAATTTAGTTATTTCATTGTGCACAATTTAAGGGAAAAAAGTCAACAGCTAGATCATGTTTAAAATCCGCAGCTGTCATTGTAAAAATAGTAGAACTTAAAACTGGTGACACTTCCCTTCAAAATCAACAACTGCCCAGTAAAGAGGAGATTATTGAGATACTGAAAACAACAAACCTCTTTCTGTCTTGGGAGTTTCATCCCAGCGATTTCTCCTGGTTGATGAAATGCCTAGTAATCAAACAAAGGCCATTAGAAATTAACAATAGTTGACCCAAAATAAGAACTGATATACATAAATATATGAACCCTAAGCACACAAAAAGAAGACTTTACCTGGTGTGGTATTGCCGCCAGGAGTGGCATGTCCAGGTGTGGCATGTCCAGGGGTCACATGGCTTGGTGTAGCTTCCCATATCCTGGTGCTAGGGGTAGCTCCTGGTGTCTCAGAGCCAGGCCTGTGGGGGGTAACACCTGGTGTTTCTGAGCCTTTTACACGCCCAGGAGTTTCATCCCAGCGACTGGCAGAAGGAGTCGCCATCTGTAATGAAAGCAAGCAAAGGTTTTGAAGGTTTTAAAATTTTATCTGAGAAAGAAATGGCTGCATTTATTGCTTTCAAAGCTGACTAAAGACTGGTTGGAGGGTTCATAAACAGTACAAGAATTGAGTTGTCTTTGATTTATATACTGCCTTAAGGACATGAAGCCAGTACTCATAGATATATCCTGAGGAAAAAAAGGTTGACGTCTCTGAGAAGCAAGTTTTCCTACCTCAGCCTGATCCCAACTGCTAGACTTTTTCTTGGCTGGTGTTTCATCTCCAGAAGCCTGCTGATCCCATCTGCGGCGCTTCCTCTCTGAAATGAAATGAAATACAATTCCACTCATGTTTAAACTGCAAACAACTCTGTTCCACATTTTATCAGTATCAGCTAAGCGTGCTGCTTGCACCTATTTTACATGTTTCTTCCCTTCCTCCCCAGAAATAAAAAAGAGAAGATAAATATCCAATAATCATCAAAAGCACAGTGTTATCTTGTTGCAATATTAATACTTGAAGAGGGGATTGAAAAGCTTTAACTCCTTGAGATGATTAACATGTAACTTCTCCATATAATATCCATACATCAACCAACACAGGTAATGAGAACACTCAAAGTTATTAGGTAAATGTTGTTATATAGAACTAACACCAAATTCTTGTAATTAATTTACAATGAAATATGTCACAGCTAGAGGGGAGAATTCACAATCAAATCTTGGTTGAAAGGTTAACAGAAACAAACCTGGTTTTGATGCTGCAGCTGGTTGAGCCTTTTGTAATTCCCCTGAGGCTGCTTGGTTCCTGATATCATGAAAGATTTGTGCCTAGAGAGGAGACAAACAAAACTTATCACTACTGTTCTAACCTTTTCCACAAAGACCATCCTACTTGATAACTTGAAGGATCATCATGTAGAAGGTTTCAATGACAGAAGTTATGTAACAAATCATTAAGAAAAAAAGCCCAACATTACTGATGAAAAATCTATAATATGGCAAAACTTAACAAAAAAGAGAGCCCTTCACAAAAATGAGACTATTCCTTCTTCAGCTCAAAATATCATTAATTTAGTCCATAATCTATGTAAAGTGCATAGAATACAAACCTGCTCTCTCTGAAGAGCTGTTTCTTGAATAATGTCCTGATACGTCCTTGTATTAATCAACTGGGATGGATCAGGTGTTTTGCCACCTTACAAGAGAAAAATAAAAAACAGAAACAATATTAGCTGCTTTCAAATTACCAAACACAACAGCACATGACAAAATAATAAAATTATCACAGCAGCTTAGCTAACAATATGAAGAGGTACAACAGACTAGAAAACCCTACCACAAAAATTTACCATGCAGTTTCTTGCAATTCAATCCTCTGAAATTCTTTCAACTACTACTCTTACACAACAATTGCCAGTCTCTTCAAACCCATGGAAACAGTTCAATTGTAACTGCCATTTTAGGACTTTCAGAAACCAGCAAGTGCATTTGTTAAAACTAAGCTGCTAGTTGCAAAAGACAGATTATGACAAACAGACACAATAACACCACACATGTACAATTGTTTTTTTTTTTTGTCTGGAAAGGTGGCTGCGGCAAGGTAACACCAACCCAATGGCTAGTCTTGAGATGAGTCACTGACGTCGCATCTTGGCATGGCATCGAGTTAGTTGATAAACTCAAGCACTTCTCCTATTTAAAAATTCTTCAGAGGTCAGTAATCGACCACTGTGTAGCATCAGTACTGGCTTATGGCATCTTACTCTAAGTATGTACTGTGTATTCTACACCCTACAAATATGAAATTTCAATAAACTTTCCCTGGATTTTGAGGAAAGGTGTCCTCTTCACAATGCCTCTTTTTTTTAATTTACTAATTTTGGAAGGGATGAAGTTAGCTTTGGCATGATAGTACAAAATTTTGTCTGACTACATCTGTTTTTCAATTTTTTTTTTAAGTGAAGATGATTAAAATTCACCTTGCATTTCAGAATACAGAGTACTGTAAAAATTATATAATTTTGAGGAAAAAAGGGTTCCCTTTGCACATAGATTCATGTATTGATGATGAAACACTGTTGTGAAACCATCAAGAATTCAAATTACTTGCAAGTATAACACTTTGAAAACTGTTTTCAAACTTGAACAGCTACAATTTAGCAAACATTGAAATATTCAAACATTGTCATTCAAAAATTATATAGCCTTGAAATTATGCTGGTAATGACACTTTGTTCCACAAGACTTGTACCAAAAATAAAACTTGAACAATAGTATCTATAAATAACCAACATTGAGACAAATACTCTTGCATTAATTTTGCGCAGTTGATGAGTGAAGTTTCCATCACCGCTGAATGAAGAAAAGGGGTTTAGGAGTAAGTAAAATGAAGTAAACAGTTCTTACTTAAATCATAAAAGCAAAGAGCAGTTTTTGAATGACAAATGATGACCAAAAAATCTAGTCTACCAGCACATGGAAAACAAAATATCAAAAAAACATGTGGCACATAATTTTTTTCAAAAATAAAATTCCACTGGATTTTAACTTTTGGTATGAAGAGCAGATTCTCTAATAATCTTAGTAAATTACTGTTGAATTACAAAAAAGCTATAAGTGATACACTGTGTAATTTTCTTTGCAACAGCCAATCAAAAACTGCTCTAGCCAGACTAACAACACTGCATAGGCAAGACAGCCTTTTGCAAAGAACCAAAGAAAGTTTTGCATTAGCCAAACATCTACTTTAGGGTATATTCACAGATGGAAAAAGCAATGCTTAGTAAATTTGAGGCAGCTTAAGGAATCATAGGAGACCAATGGAGTCAACAGTGTTGGTTACAAAGGATAATTTCCTTGTTCAAACTTGGCTGGAAAATTCTACTTCACTTGAAAAATTAAGCCTTTTTCAAGGGTGGGAGGCACAGATTCTTGGCAATAAGCTCCCTTGCCAATTCTTTAAAGGAATACTGCTTAGAAAGCTTAAGAGGAGGACTTGATTTAAGTCAACAAGAATTCTTCAATGATTCTTATGTCACTAATTTGTCTGTCTTCATGGGACTACTGACAAAACTTTGAAAACTGCAAAATTGTATATAACGGCTAACAGGTAAATCAGTCAATAAATAGAACTAAATTTGATCATCAATTGAATAACTAATTTAGATACCTAATAAAACATTTCTAAGTCAAAACAAGGTTGCAACTGGATGTTGTAATGAATTCCAAAAAATGATCATTCTTCTCTACTTATGGTTAATTACAATAGCCATTTTACATTTGTGCACTTAGTTGCCAAGCCTTTGATTTGGAGTGAGGCTGAAGGTGACCTTGTTGTGATAGAGACCAGTATCTAGTTAGCATGATAACAAAGTAATTTGCATTTGAAAAGCAGCAAGGTTTGTATCATAACAAGGTCACCCTTAGCCTCATTCCTGTTCAAAGGCTTGGCAACCAAGCACACAACTGTAAAATGGACTATTATGTGACCATCATCATTGTGGGCAAATCCTCAATTCCAACCACACTTTACCTCCTACTTGACTACCTTGTAGCAGGTTAAACACATACACGAGAAACACTGGCATAAAGAATACTTAAAAATAATCCATCAATCTACAACACCTACCATCTGCAAAAGGATCATGCCTTGGTGGTGATATCACCATCTGCCTTCTCCTTGCTCTGTATTCATCTTCACGCTCCGCAATGGTTTGCTGCCTGTGTTGTGCAAATGGATCCACCTGTAATCAATGAAGATAGAAGAACCTGTGATTCTTTTCTATCAAACTCACTTCTCTCTAAGCTTTTACACATTAACATCAGTTATACATATTCTTCATACTGTTCTCTATACATTTCCTAAGGTGCTGACTAGGAGAAATTGTTAAATAATCCTGACTTTTTTAAGCTAATGATCATTTCCTTTATTCTTGTGACCTTGATGTCTGATTTGAGGGTGACGCTGTAAGGAAATACTAAATACTAGTCACTCTCAGAGGTCAAAAGGTCAAATTGATTCCTTACTCAGCTGCTATATTATTGTTGCTGTTTTTTATATACCTATGTCATACAGTACAGTCAAGATTAACCCTTTACCTCCCTGAAGTGATTAACTTGTAACTTCCCCCTATAACATCCCTACATTAGCCAGTCACCAGGTAATGAGAATACTCAAACTTATCAGGAAGAAGTTGTTATCTTGATCTAACACCAAATTCTCATCATTTATTTACAAGGAATTGTGTGTTAGATACAGGGGAGAATTTACAATCTGATCTTGGGAGTTAAAGGGTTAACTCTTCTTCCATTCGTAGTACTATCTCAATGAATCTCTACTTATAAAATTATGAAAGGATTTGAGACAAGAGACAAACATTGTTGAGGTTTACTTACATTCTCAGAGGACCTGGCTATATCATTTAACAGTGCTGTAGGGGCTGTATAAGTGTTCCTTGAAGGATGCATAATAGTGGTAGAGTAATCATCATCATCCTGTCATGAACAAATAAAAAAAATACTTCAAAATTTAAAAAAATAGATGTGAGCAGTACTAGTACTTAAGCAAACAGAATAACTGCAACAAATCTATGGGGTTCTGAAACCAGGTTGTTAGACATTCTCAGTACAAATATTTAATGAATACCAGATTTAAGGATGCTCACCTCTTCTTGTTCATTTGGAGCAATATCGATTGAATAGCCTTCAAACCTGAAATGAATATCAATAAACAGAGAGGTCATATCTGGCAGCATAAAGGAAATAAATTTATCACAGGAAAATTAATAATACGTGATGCAAAAAAAAAGTATTCGGGATAATGCGACTGAAAATTTTCAATTAGTACAGTCACTGATAATATTTGTAACATACAAGAATAATTATCGAGAGAGAAATAACGGACACTGACCTGCCACCACCCGCACCATAAATGTCGACATCATATCCTCCTTCGCCAACAGAAGCTAACCCAACCTAAAAGGTACATGACCAACAATGCAAACAAGTCGATCATCTTCTTGAATTACATTTTTATTATACTATTTGAGGTACTTTATGATGGTGAAGCCTAAAAAGCTTTTGATATCTACATTAAAACAATACAGAAGGCAAATAAGACATTGAAAATGTATCTCCTCATATAACACAGTCGAAAGTAGACGCGAATAAAAGAGTACGTCAGGAAAATCTAACCTTTTCTCCGATGTCAACTTTGGGTAAATTCGATCGTTGAGCTTGTAATTGCTGAATTTGCCACTCGATTTCTGAAAGGAAGAAAATGTACTTCAGTTACTCAGGCAATGGATAAAGCTGGCATAGTATTGTTTCTTGGAGTGTAAAAGAGACACATTTACCTTCATGTGTAGTCGGGGCTTTAGCTAAAGCGGCCATCTTTTTTCACGTTCGCACACCGTAGAAACCCACAATGCAACGAAATTTGAACAAAAAAGTACCCGGATGAAGATGACTCTCTGTATAATCATACACCACAGAATTATACTATGCATCGAGGGCCCGCGATTTTCCAAACTTGTGTCTAACTTGGCGAGGTCAAACCATATATTTGGAAGAAATCGTAGACTTCCAGTTTTGCAAATGATAGCTTCTCTATTGGGAGAAGGAAGAACATAGCAGATGGAGCACTATACAAAAGTCAGCAGTCACGCCTCTGAAAGCGAGGAGAAGAAAGAAGCGTGTGATATTCACGTCAAAAGTGGCAGCAAGATAAGGAACATCATATCTCAAGCCTTTAGACTACTGCAGGTATTGACCTGAAATTTGAAAAGGATTATTTCTTGCTCAAGGACAACATGGACTAAGATATTTTAGGGTCGGTGTTTGTTTATTGCAACAAAAGGACAGATTTGCTTTAACCCTTTAACTCCCAAGATCTGATTCTTATTGTTAATTATCCCCTCCAGCTGTTACGCATAACCTGATGGGTTGAGTATTCTCAATACCTGTTTGCTGGATAATATATGGATATCAAGGGGAGAAGTTACATGTTAATCATGTATGGAAATTGAAGGGTTAAAAAAGCTCATATCCTGTCTTAGGGGTAATAAACTGAATACACTGTTGTAAGGGAGAGGGTTAAAGATGAATTGCTGCCTTCAAAGTTATGTTGCCTTAGTAGATATTTTCTGTCTCTTTTTTCAGCAGCCTCAGAACAGAATACATGTTACAGTCTCTTCCCCTCCACAACTCAGAGCCCTGTTACAAAAGTGGTGTTATGAAATCCTGTCACAATAATTGATGACTTGATATCTAAACTTACATAGAACCCCTTTATTTTAAACAACATTACTGTTTTTTTTTCTTTTTATGACAAAGAACAAGAAGGGCGAGAAAATAGTTTTGATTGGATCAGGACCGACTGTGACCAAAACCATTACATGCGCTGAAATTATAAAAAGAAAGACAAAGGTAAAAATAGATATAGGTTCTATGATGCTGCTTTATATGGATGTGTTGGTTCATTTACAGAGAACATGTTCTCCTGCTCTGCTCCTTCAAAGTCATGGTCTGAAATAATTTCCTGAGCCTATAAGTGATATTTTACTCAAACAAAGTAACTAAGTTTAGGCAAACTACACCATGTCACAACATATGATCTTTCTTATTGCCTTTCCTCTCCTAAATTTGAGCATTTCTCAGAACATTTCATTTCAATTTCTTTGAATATTTCTTTTACCCTTTACAGTGGCCAATTTACATTTTCAACTCAGTTGTTAAACACTAAATTACCTGCATTTCTTAGAGAGATGCCTCAGCTTTGTCTTGTGACTTTGCCTTGGTAACTTTTTTTGTTAGCATTAATTTTATTTCTTTTTTTTCTGATAATGTTACTTCCATGCCAGGGTTTACACCAGGTAAACAAGCTGTTTTACTCCAGGTAAGTGTACATTGAGCAATGCCTTTCCTGCAGTTGTATTTTTCCTTGATGTTCAAATACAACGGGCAATCATCCATTTTTCTCTAATCAGAATTCAAGATACATGGGAACCCAAGGAGGATCATCTTGATAAGTGAGTATAATTAACTCTCTTATCAATGAATCCATTTAACAGCAATCTCTGCCTAGCAATTAACAACCATAGGCCCTTTTAACCAATCTACCCCTAAGAATGACTAGCATCAGATTTCTCCTCACAATATCGCCCCTGTAAACAACTTAGCATCATCTGACTTCACTACAGCCTGTTTTTTGGGTTTGAGTATACTCTTTATCATTAAGTCAAAGTTTAGATGTTACAGTACAAAGGTAAATTGTTGTGATTTGTATCTTCAGGCTTCAAGTGACAAGGAAAATTCCATCCATCAGTATTACTCTGTCCAAAATCCCTTTAGATGTATCTCAACCAGGGTAAGTTGTCAGAGATTAGTGATAAGGTTTAGCTTGTCCATTCTCAGGAGTGACCGATATATGATAACTCAGTGATCCATATTAGCAGCTGTCAGTTCAAGTATGATAACACAAAAATTTGTCTGATGGACAACTAAATTTGGAAATTTTTTATTATTAAATTATTATTATTTGACATCCGAGACTTACCTGTGGTTTAGCTTTCCACCAACAATAAAGTGCTTTTACCAGGGAAAAAAAGCAGATTTTAGTTTGCAAAGTTTTATTGTTGGAAGCCAATTTTTGTGGTACAATTATGGCCCCATTTATCTTGTACTTGTCATTGCCTTTCTTAAGTTTATAATGCAATGTTACAGGCAGATATACAGGCAAGTTAAATCTAGCCAGGGCAACTATCTTTTCTGACATACTTGCCCAGCTGACAACTTTGGAAAATCACCCGTATGGATCCCTGCTGTCTCATAATTAACCCTTTCACTCCCAAGATCCAATTGTTTGTTCTCCCCTCAAACTGTCACACATTTCTGTGAGAATAAGTTATGAGAATTTAGGTCAGATGAAGACAATAACTTCCACATGAGTTTCAGTATTCTCATTAGCTGCTTGCTGAATAATGTACAGGGATATTGTAGGAGGAAATTATTTGTTAATCGCTTATGGGAGGTAAAGAATCATTAGCATTGATACATAGCAGACCCCTGATGAGGAGATAAGAGAATGTATCTTGGAGGTTATCATTAATCAAAACCAAATTTTCACAAAAACTTGAAAAGAAATGTATGACTGATTGTAAAGAAACTGTGGGAGTGTAAGGGTTGATTGAAAACAGAGGTCATACAGAAGATTACTATATCCTGATGGTTATTTCTGCAAATATAGATGTCAGAAGTAAAGCAATATCACCAAAATCGCAGAAACTTTTTTCCCCCAAAATATTTTTTTCACTAATTTATCTTCCTTTGCCTGATTTCTGTTTATTTTGTCAATGCTAGATATGAAAATTGATAGCCAGATGATTTTTACAAGTTTAAAGTATTTTACTTACTTTTCACTTGAGACTGTGATTCCAGGAATTTCTCTGATTTATGATTTTCAGTTACCAGGCTCCAGGAAAATCCAAAAGCCCTGTACAATTTGGTGATGAAGACTGGGAACTAGCTTGGGAAGAAAATCAAGATGACTCAAGAACACCCAAACCAGAGAAAAGTTCAAGTGCAAAAACAAAAAGAACTGCAGGTAAAAATAAGAATGAAACCAAAACAGATACTGCTGAGCCTTTTAAAAAGGTTAAAAGTTCAGAGATGTTAAACTTCAAGAGACAAAAAAGAGATAGGAACAGAGGAAGCACAGAGGAAGAATCAAAGAGTGGAGGAACAGAAAGTGAAAAGGGGAAGAATCAGAATGAATAGAGTAACAGAAAATATTTGAGCTGTGATGTTGCAGTTTGTAAGAAGTCATAGGAGGGACATTGAGAGGGTGGTGCTTGGGATGGTGAAGAGAAACTCAAACATGATGGACATACAGAGTCAACACCAGAGTGCTAGGAACAGCAGAACAGTGAAGAGATTCAATCCATTCAGGAAGAGGAGGCTGTTTTGTTAATGAGCAAGCAGAGCTATCAAAGACATTGAAAGGGTGGGGCTGCAGAGTGCCAATTGGAGCATTCAATGGAAAGGAGTGAGACACTTCACACTTAAAATACTGTAAAGACTTGAACATACCCAAAACAAACATTGGAATTCCAGTTTTAGTAACATAGGCTTGTTGTGATAAGTTACTTAATTTTAAACCCATCAAAGGAAATTATTTTGTCCATTTGAGTAGATAACATTTTCATGATTTTAAAGTGAAGAAAATTAGCTCCACAAGGCACAATCAACTAGCTCTGACAAATGGGGAATACCCAAAGTGAAACTCTTTACTGTTTACAGTGGCCAATTTACATCATCAACCCAGTTGATGGAACCATGCAATACCTGCCACCAACACAGAACCACAGTTTTTTTACTTGAAATTGTGCTGCTGTCCCCCCCCCCCACCCCCCTACCAATCATTGTGAATTGTAAACATTTGGCAACTACTAAACAGGACATGAAATTACAAAAGACAGTTTATTATAAATTACAGAAAAAGTACAATCATTACTTTAATACCTGATAACAATCATGCAAAATCTTACATACAAAAAATGGCAGTAGAGTTACACTCTATTCCAGCCTTAGCTTTCATATTTTAGTTTTTCATTCAGTAAATTACATTATCTGCCTTCTAAATTAACCTTTGACACCCTAACATCAGGATACATATTCTTCATACTGTTCTTTATACATTTGCAAAGGTGTTGACAAAGAGAATTTGAGTAACAATCAATGCCTTTTTTTTGGTTGGTGATCATTTCCTTTATTCTCATGACCTTGATGTGAGATTCAGGGGTGATATTGTAGGAGAAATTAGATGCTGGTCACTCTTAGGGGTCAAAAGGTTAAGGGGCCACAAAACTGGATGACTAAAACTGCTTTTCAAGCCTATGAGTGCAAAGTAGCAACTGTACTTTGTAGTAACACAGAATATAGGGTCTTGAGAGACAAATTAAGGACCTTTAATAAAGCTTGAATATGACAGCTATGAGCTCATGATGATAAAAAAAGCTCCTAAACTTTTTCAATCTCCTATCTATTCTCTGCAGAACAACAATGTCAAGTGTCTAGAGTGAATTTGAAATCTATCAATAGCTTATTCTTGTACATACTTTTCCAAGCATCCATATGGAGTCTTTAATCTCAATGGCAAAATATCAACTATTACATGTAATAAAAAAAGCCTAATGTTATAAATCTATCTTGTAAATGCCCAGTCCTTGTCATATGCTATATTTGTGTCAAAATAGTTATTCTCACTACCAAACAGAATGAAGAATGGGCCATGAATAACTGACAAATTATTTTTATAGACCACACCTCTGACCTGAGAAAAGGAACACACAACAAATATTATTAGCCCAAGATGCTGGCGATTTGATATGCACTTTAATGCATTGAGTAGCATCCTCATGAAAAGGAGTTAAAATTAAAGCAGTGGGGGGGTTTCTGTGACTGTTTTCAAAGCTCTTCTGTCATTTTTTCATTGAGAAAAACAACAAGCTTTGAAAGCTATTGATTACTTTATTTGAAGTTCTACTAAAGTCTAGAATAATGCAACTTAGCAAGTTGCCTCCCTTTAACAATATCTAGGGAATAAATGAGTAACCCCATTACTTCATATAAAGTGAAATAGCTTATTAAATTATAAATTTACTGCTGCACATTCTGAAGAAAAAAAATCTTCCAGCTTATTGAACAAGGATATTATTAGCTACACTTTCAAAATAACTAATACAAACATGAAGTAATTTGACAAACTCAAACAAATTTAAAACAAAATGTTTGCTCCTAGCAGTGCCAAAGTTGGATTTCCTTCATGACGATCTCTGTCCAAGGTTTGAATCCTTGCACGACAAACCACACACTTCAAGGGAAGATTGAGGTCGTTAACAGCCACCTGCAGTGTTCTGACAAAACAGCGACGACAAAGAACTCGGTGTTTGCAAGGATATGTTTGAATGATGGCCTTAGCACTATTGCACACAATACACTAGAAGAGGGAAAATAATAGTTCAAAGGACTTAACATTGTGTTCATTGAACAATTTTATTGAAATGTGCTATACATATCAATCCTTTATGACTTACAAGTGAATTGGTAAAAAATTATGTTACAGCAGAGGTTTTTATGCCCTTCAACTCCCAGAAGTGATTAACATGTAACTTCTCACCATAGTATTCATACATTATTCAGCAAAAAGGAAATGAGATTACTCAGACTTATTACGTAGAAGTTGTCATCTTGACCTAACACCGCATTCTCGTAACTAATCTACAAGGAAATGATCTCTTGGGAGTTAAAGGGTTCATGGGTGTACAACTCAAAGAAGCAACCTTTTTTCAAAAAGGGCAACATGTAAAATATTATAGCACAAGACAATGACTAATATTTATATATACTAACAACTAAACAATTAAGGCAAAAAGATAATTGAACATAAACTTGCATCTATTCTGCATTTGAAGAATACCACAAATCTTTCAAAGTTTTGAATGATGAATTCACCAGGTAAACAAACATATTATACTGAATGTTTCAACAATTTTACCTCATCATCTTCAGTATCAGGGAGTTCTGGTTGAAAGTTGTCTAATGAGCCAAGGAGTTGCTCCTGTTGGAAAGAAGAAAATACCTTGATTTTCTGGAAATCTTTAGTTTGAGTTTTAGTTCTTCATGGAAGCATTTTGTTTCCTCTTCCATGGGACCTGGTCAGCATGACAGTTTTTTTATCTTTTGTTCATATCAGAAATTTCAGCTCAACTCAAATTTAGTCATTGTGATCTTTTGTTCACTTGGGAGAATTTCTACCTCCCTCAGACAAATCTCAGGGTATGTTGCAGTTGATTTTCAAGAGTATAGTGTAAAACAACTCCCTCAAATGCTCCTCCTGAATGGTTGATCTAGATTCACACTTAATTTTATACCATGTAACCATATAACAAAATCAAGTCAATCAGAATACAGGAAACATGTTGTATGTATGACAGTTTTACACCTTTTCTCCTCATTTGACAGGTCACAATCAGTTTCTAGCTTTTTTTGGTATTTCACAGTAATAACTTGATCTTATATGCATTCCTTGTAGTTAGCATGAAGAATCATAGTGAATGTTAGAAGAGTTTTGGTAATGTTGTAAAGATTCTAAATAATGAGAAGTCAGTTTACAGTCCCAGGATATACTGCAATTGATTCTCAAGAACATTGGGTCAAAAAACTCCTTCATGAGGCTAATAATGGTACTATGACCAAGTGGAGTCCAATTCGGTCTGTAATCATACAAGTGATTAACAAAATCTGATGACTCCCAATTTGTTGATCCTGAGTATGATTACTGATAGAATTGGATGACACACAGTCCTGTTACCAATTAATGAAAACTATGACAAAATTTGAGAAAGAAACTAGACATCAGTTATTTTTTTTCATAAAAAAATATCAACATTTAACTCGGTAAAATGCGAGACAACAGCACCTAAGCACATGACATGGTTTGTCCAATTACAAGCATGACGCATACACTGTCCTATTAGTGCTCAAATCAGGCTGGTGATAACCAATTGCGTTCGAGAATTTTGCTATAGTTTTGATGAAACATTGAATATCCCACTTGTCGTGTATATATCCCTGCTAAACAGAGAAATACAAGTAACCACTGGGATATTCCAAGGTACAGCACCGGAAAGGGATGCACAGCTACTGAAACTACATGTATCTACTTGGAGAAACATCAGAATAGGGAGCTTACCTTGTGGATATAATAATTTGAACTGAAAGGGGCAATCCTAGGTGAAGGCTTCACAACTAAAGCAGTCTTAGTGAACTTTAAATATGATATCGATTTTCGGTTAAACATAACTGAAATCAGCCACTAAGAGATTAACCACACTGATTGAACACGAGGAAAGCTAACCTACCAGTTTATCCCGTAATTCCACGAGTTTCTCTACCCTTCTTCTTCTTATTTCCCTATGTAACGCATCTTCGTCTGCAAAAGTGTCTGTCCTTCTTCTTCTTTGATAGTAGCGATAAGCAAAATACGCAGACACAGCCACCACGCTAAAGACGATTACTGAATTTCGGTTGTAAAAACGACTGATTATACTCGACATGGTTTACAAATTTGTCCTCAGTTCTCCACAATGCTGCACTCTATATGCTACTTGACGTTTTGACTACCCAAATGAGAAGTTTCTTTTCTGAATTCATAGCAAAATTTTGATGCTTAGACGTGTCACAAGAGTCAAACTTTTGCGTGTTCTGAATCCCTTATCTGTAATTTCTCTTTGTGATCAAACACGACGCTGCCTAACTCTGGGATAATGAGAATCATGGGAACTACGGAACTCAAACCACAGCAGGGGTGGGGATGGTAGTTAATCGACTCGAAAACGACTCACGTGGATTACTTGTTGCATTATATCAGGAACGTGTGATGCTACACTCACATTGGACCCATTTTCTCGTGTAGCTGCTTTCCTTAGCAAAAGTGAACGCCTGAAGATCACTTATCACATATGGAGGACTGGGCACTTAAAGATTACAATGGAGGTCATTTCATCTGTTAAATGTAAATAATATATTATTGCAAAGGAAAACACAAAGAATCCCTTAGCTATATCTTAGAGACATTTCCGAAAAATTAAAATTGACCTCACATCTCTCAACAATATTAATGTAATTTCTTAAGTGAAAGAGCTGTGTTAAAGCTACAATTTCCTTATACACAATAGCAATTGAAACAGTTCAATCCAGGAGGCCAGTTGTCATCCTTCTCACTGCTGTTCATGTTACTTCCAAGTGACTCACATGCAACTTTTCACTATAACATCAACACCTAAGGGCTGATACAGGAATTCTTGAAAGACTAGATCCAAACTTTGGTTTAGAAATCACTTTTGTGTATGAAAGTAGTTACACAAGAGCCAAAAAGTTGACACATCTCATCATGTTGTTGGAATAATTTTGGGTCCAGATACATAGTAAAAGTACCCTTAGGTTAGGTGGGGTGTCCAGACTCTGTGGACCCTTCCCTTGGGTCGGCTACTTATGATTCTGGCAGCAAACAAGTGATTTGCTCTGACAAAGGACTAATGCTTGAGATTTCAGTTTTTTCAATCTCTTTATGGTGGCTAATTCACATTACCCTCTCAGTTGATAAAAGCAAATTTTCAAGTGATTATAATGGGTAGCTAGACTTCCCAGCTAGACAGTGTTAACTTGGCATGACACTGACTTCTCTGCTGAGATTAACAAGAAAACATGCTGTCAGAAATCAGTCTAACTACTGTTGTTTAAATTTATTGATGTGCTATATCACCACATGACAGCTTTCAAAAGATCAATATCAATCATTTTAGAGAGGGATTAGGACTACCACATGTGTATTGAGGGAGTGAACCTCATTGTGAGTTGTGAGAACCAACGATCGCAATTTCTAGTGATTAAAGCACTGTGATCTTCCACTATAAGTGAATTACCATGAATTTCTTGAGGCAAGGGAGCCATTTGTGACAATGCATTACCTTGAAACAGGAATTACAAAGCAGGAAAGATTGAAGATTGTGCTTTAGCCATTAACTGCAATAACCAAACCCTATGGCTACAACTTTAGTTCCTGATATTTCTTTATTCATAAAATATTATTTTGAGGCATTTTTTAAAAAATCTTAGTGTTTCCTTGAATCAAGCACTGGGAAATAACAAGGAGAGTCACAGAGGCTTCCATTGTCAAACACAGTGAAGCTTGTCAACCCATATTGTGACAAAAGATCAGTTAAGATGAAATGCTTAAAAAAAGTTAACATTGATTATCACATTAATGTAAATTCTGATAGGTAACAATTCGTTCCAGTTCAATAAATTTCATGCCAGACATTCCAATGCCAATAAATGACCTTAAATGGCTAACAATATGGAATCCACAAACTAGCTAATATATCATACATTAAATCTTCGCTTCATTATTTTTTATATTATAAATTTCAGTAAAAAGAACAGACCCTCAAAAATTCTCTTAACAAATCTGAAATATTTTCATGGAAACTGTCGATAGTCTCAATCATTGTCATCCTTTTTTCCGTGTTTCAGGATGTGTGTGAACTTAACGAAATCCAGGTATCCATCTTTGTCAATAGGCGCGTCACGAAGCACATCATCAACCTGATCCTCGGTAAATCTGTCTCCCATCGTAGTTAGAGCCTCTTTCAATGCATCTTCGTGCACTTTACCGTTACCATCGTCATCAAAACAGGCAAACGCATTATTTATTACATCTTCAGGATCTGTCCCGTTCAGTTTTTCACCAAACAGCGTTAGAAACATTGTGAAGTTGATAGGACCAGGAGACATTTTCACCATCTCTTCCAAATATTCGTCAGTAGGATCTTTACCCAGGGAAGCCAGCATGTCGTGTAAATCTTCTTTATCCACGAAACCATCACTGTTTTGGTCGATCATGTTAAAAGCCTCTTTAAATTCCTGAATTTGGTTTTGGTCGAACATGGCAAACACGTTCGAAGTGGCTCGGTGAGCTCGCTTTTTTGTCGTCTTTTTGGTCTTTCTTGAAGCCATCTTGTACCTTAAGCTCTAACACGCATAAAATCGGATCGGCAAGCAAAAATGGAGGCGGTGTAAGAAACAGTTTTCGCTATTAATTCTTAACACTCCTCCCAAAGGAAATTTTGCAAATTGAAATACGAAGCCACACGCCTTCACTTTCCCGCATCACGTAGCGCATGAAGTCACTTCCGGTTCAAATACCGGAAGTTAACTAAGTGAACTGTGGGGTATACTCTACCAATGTCACTTGGTAAAATAAATCCCTCTCAGCTATAGAACATCCACTCAAAGTAGATATGTTATGAATGTTAGAAATGTTATGTTTTCATAAACTTTAGCAGAGGAGATCTTGCTTAATACTGTTTGGAATTTCTATGAGTTTGAAATCTTTTTTTCATTCACTGGATCAACAGAGCACTAAAATTCATATTCAAGTATGATCTGCTAAATTTCTAGCAGTTACATTTAAAAAAACGTTCAGTTACAATTTTTATGATTGATAACACATGCACTTGGATTTGGCAGTAACAGCAAAAAAGTTGCAGAGTAACCATCATCTTTTCTTCTTAAATTTTTCAAAGTAGTTAGTGGTCAAAAGCTTTAACTTAGCTCATGTCATCTCTTCAAAAATATTACTATAAAAATTCAGTATTGAATGCCTGTTTTTTTTTGTTTTTTTTTTGTTTTTTTTTAGTATCATCTCACACATCCTATCTCTCAAATGAAATTACAACCAAGGACAGCCAAATCTATGTTTGGCATGTTTATGATATAAATATGAACAAAGAAATAGTGCTCAAAATCGACTTGCTTAGAAGTACAAACTTGCTCCACTCCCCCCTTATCAATACTAGAAAGAAGATTTACTGACCACTCTTTTCAAATTAAACATTTTGCACATCTCTTTCAAGGATGGTAAGTGACATTTGGTGGCACTTTCTCTCTATGATACACTGTAAGTTCACCTGAAGTTGACACTATCCCCACTGAACTGGATCAGTTTGAAACTGTTTCCCATTCACACTTTTGCTTTTGTGGCATTTCCTAAAAGTTGACTATACCAAGAAAGCTATCTCCTGAGTGGATATATTTGAAAATATAGCTCTCTCCTGCCCCATAATGAATGTTAGAGCATACAAATTTTTACCAATAGGGTTTGGAATTTCAATGCATTAACCAGTGGTTAAAACACCGATTTGGTAAGAGTTGTATGTAAAACCATAGAACTGAAGGGCACAGACATATCAAAGTGGAACAAAGTGAAAGGGCCTTTATCCCTTTACGCACTAACATCAAAATGCATATTCTCCATACTGTTCTCTATACATTTCCTAAGGTGCTGGCATGAAGAATTTGTTTAACCCCTTACATCCCAGCATTAAGGTGTGTATATTCTCCATTCTGTTCTGTATATACTTCCTAAGGTGCTGGCAATTATAATTTGTTTAACAGTAAAGAGCTTCTTTAGTTGGTTATCTGTTTCTTTGTTCTCGTGTTCTCATGACCTTAATGTGGGATTCAGGGGAGATATTGGTAGAGAAATTAGATGCTCTAAATTGAGCATTTGAAATTATAGTCTCTCTTAGGGTTTAAAAGTTAAATGAACTTTCAAACTTTACCCATCTATCACACAACAGTTATTAAGTTCTAAAAACTTGTTTGAAGCACTTGAGAATGTTATGGGAATTCAAAATTGTTCAGAAGGTATAACATTTTCAGAAGTGAAGGCTCTTCTTTTCAACTTGAGCAATAAAAGAGGTATGGAGAGCACCCGAGAAAATTATTATCTTCAAACCACAATGACAGAGATTTTACCATCACCGTTTAATTAGTTTAAAATAACAAACTGTTTATTGTACAAGCTTAAACAGCTCAATTTTCTAGTCTATACCGCATGGATTTGAGAGAAAACAAGCCTATTGTTTAGCAAACCAATTCAAATTTTGGTTGATGGTTAGAATTGTATGGAAAATAAACAGTCCGCGTAGGTATCATAACTTGTATTGCCATACATGAATAATCATTAAACCCCGTAACTGATTAATACACAAAAAATGCAAATCACGAAATGAAAGTTCTGCTAACCTGAAAACTGTTCTAAGCGTAAAGCAATGTCTGCTGAGCGGAATTTTAAACAGTTAATCATTCTCGTCCTTTTTACCGTGTTTTAGGATATGAGTAAACTGATTGTACTCCAGGTATCCATCTTTGTCGATAGGCGCGTCACGTAGAATATCATCAACTTGATCCTCGGTAAATCTGTCTCCCATAGTAGTTAGAGCCTCTTTCAATACATCTTCATGCACTTTGCCGGTTCCTTCATCATCAAAACAGGCAAAGGCATTCCTTATTACATCCTCAGGATCTGTCCCGTTTAGTTTTTCACCAAACAGTGTTAGGAACATAGTGAAGTTGATAGGACCAGGCGACATCTTTATCATTTCTTCCAAATAATCATCGGTTGGATCCTTCCCCAACGACGCAAGCATGTCGTGTAAATCTTCTTTATCAACGAAGCCGTCGTGGTTTTGATCTATCATGTTGAAGGCCTCTTTAAATTCCTGAATTTGGTTTTGATCGAACATGGCAAAAACATTAGAGGTGGCTCGGTGAGCTCGCTTTTTTGTTGTCTTTTTCGTCTTTGCTCTGGCAGCCATCTTGTTCGTTGGGTTTATCTAATACAAACTGAGTGAAAGAATTGTTAAAAAACCGAGGGAAAAAATAGTTCGCGCCTGAAAATTTTTAGCAACACCTCTGAAGCCGAACTTCTGCAAACAATTTATGCAGCTATGTCCGCTTCTCGGCGAATGTCGCTGACCCGGATATTAGAACCTAGTCCCACTCAATAACCTATTAACTGAAGACATTTTTCGCAATTTTTTCTTGTTGTTATGAGAATTAACTATATATGCCACAGGGCAACGTTTTTGTTAGGAGGGTATTTACCCTGGGAAACTCATCCACGTTTTTCTTCAATGAAAGTAACAGCCATTTTTTAATTGACTGATGTATTTTTGTTGTTTTGTTTTTCAAAGTTGTCAGAAGTTGCGTTTCTAAGTGTAATCCAAGCTGAGAGAGGTAGAAGACTAGCTGTGGAAAATGACTCAGAACTAGTCAATAAGCAATTTTCGTCACACAGATACTTCAGTATCACTGTATGGTAGTGTTCTCAAGGTAGCAAATTAATTCTTCAATAAATGAACATCAGTACATGTACATGGAGCCAGGTTTCACGCATTCAGGGCCTCAATGGTTGTTATAAGGGTGAATAGTGCTATCCCACAGATAAATCGCTATCCAGCACACAAATGTTTACAAAACGTACTTTGCTATCCACTGGATAGAGATTTATCCAGTGGATACCGTTATCCACCCTTCAAACAACCTGAATTATAATATCCAGCCCTTCAAAACTGTTACCTTCAAAATCAATTATTTCATGCTACTCTGATAAATCCTCAATAACACTGAGGGTAAAGATGATGGAAAATTATCCTTTATTATTGGACCATTATTGGGACATAGCATCAAATGAAATACTATCCTCTACTCTGATCTTCATGTTTGAGAAGAATTCAGGAGACTCTTTCCCTTCTCTCCCCTCCATGTTTACTAACACTTATGTCATTCTGTCAAGATATGTCCCAGTAGAACAGAAAAGGGTACAAATTCAGAGATTTTCAGGAAAAATTAGTTCAAAGAACAATTCACAGACATTAGGACCATGTACAAGATCATTAGTTTGCTTTAATGGAGGAATGAACACAAACACTTTTTAAATCTTAGTTATGAATGTTTACGTTTCCTGGTATTGTAAGGGCCTTTTAGTAAGTTTTAATACTAAGCAGGTAAAAAGTAAAGTTGGGCTTATCTTCTGAGTCTACCACTTGACATGAAGTATTTTGTTCAACTTCATTATGTATTGCAAATCTTAGCCAAACAATTCAAACTATTTCAACTTAAAACAATTAAAAGATAAATACTTTTTAGCCTCTGAAGTTACCACACTTTTAAATAAAATTACTCCCACTGGTTGAAATCCCTGTAATAAATTTAGCTTAGGAAGTCTTGAGAGTCTTGAAAATTAGGACGAAAAATTAAAATTAGGAACATTTACATCTGGGGGAGAATGTCATGAATAAGACACACATTCTCTAGAATATTCAACAAAGAGATCTGAGGATGATGCCCACAAGAGTCTGGTTTTAGATATTTTGAAAGAAAAAGTTCAAATAAATACCTAAGGTTGTTCTGCAAATAACTAATAGAAATTTAACAATGTCATGCATTGTTAACTTGTGTCTGTAGAATACACTTAACTCTTTAACTCCCAGCAGTGATTAATACATAACTTCTCCCTTTCATAGCCATACATTATCCAGCAAACAAGTAATGAGAAAACCTAAACTAATCAGGTATATAATGTAACACCCAATTCTTGAAACTAATTTACAAGGAAATGTGTAGCAGCTAAAGGGGAGAATTTATAATCAGATCTTGGAAGTTAAAGGGTTCACATGGAATTTAAAACTAGCAGTAAGAGCTAATATGCAGTATCTATGATGAATTTCTATCTAATCTTCAACAGAGGACACATAATCTTTTCACATTTCATGTGAAAGGTATATATGACCTTAACATCACCAGTTCAAATACATTTTTCAAGTAAAACTCTGTCACTCTAAATGTAATTTAAAATAAGAACATACGGAGAGAGAATTAACCATAATTCTTCTACTAAAAATAGAATAATTTCTTTACAATTTGAGAAGAAATGAGATAGGTCTTTAGCACCCACAATAAGGATATTCCATATTTTAAGTCAAAAATAATTGTAGTAACTGTCTTTTTTTCAGGCTGATGAATCACCACTGCCCCCACTAAGCTGAAGACTTTGTTTGTTCAAGACTATTACCAAGTATATCTGAGTTTGCAGGTGCATTAGTAAATATAGTTCCAACAAATGCAAAAGATCCCCAAACACGATGTGAGATAACTTTACAGCAACCAAGATCTGCCACATTGAAGCCTAAATGGTTATATCGTTCATCTGTTTCAAACAAAGTGCTATTTGTGTGTGGTCCAAAAAACTGTGGAGTAAAGAGTAAGAATATAATCATATCTATTCAACAAAAGTAAGTGGCAGATGTTCATATTTAGTGGAAGTGACATAAGTTGCTGACACTGGTTAACTGACATTCCACTCATTAATAAACACAGGAAAACATTATTCAATTGTCACATCACATGATTAGAAATTCCAGCTGACACTTAGTACAACATAGGAATTAAACTTTCTACTACAGAAAGAGAAGTGTATCTGCTGAACCTGAAATTGGGTACAATCAGCCTATGACCACCGCTAAAGCTGATGTTTCAAGCATTAGCCCTTTGTCAGAGCAAAGGGCACTCTGACGAAGGGCTTGCACTTGAAAGGTCAGTTTAAGAAACTCTTTATGGTGGCCAAATTACGTTCATTTGTCAACTCAGTCAAAAAAATAACATTATTTTGTAATACTCCCTACCAACACACCACCACAGTTTCTTTAGAAACTTATCCCCAAAACCATCACTGTTTGTACAGTACAGTTCTCAGAAACTAAAGATAAAATTAAATGTATACTGGTAAGAACAACTAGGGAAAGTTGCAAAACTCATAAACTTACTGCTGTTCCTGATGATGGGTCTATAAAGTCTGCCCAATACCCAGCTGCTAGGAGACTTTTACAGATTTCTTTTGCACTTTCCACAAACTGCAACAAGAAAAAACATAGAAAAAATGAGAGATTATCAATACAATGAGTTTTTTTGAAGGTCTGTCTGCCTTGTTGTCACTGAAACTGTTGTGATTATCAATTAATGAACAATTTTATCTTACACTAGCCATGAGGCTTTCTCGTTCTTCTTCAACATCTGGTGACCAAGCACTCATGTCATTTCTAGTATGCTGACTAATGCTGACAACTGTTAGTTGACCAATCTGTATTCCAATGCCAGGAAACAACTCCATAAAGCTTTGGTGAAGGAAAGAAGGGCACTGTTGTACACTGCATTCTACTGAACCAGAAGAACTGTCATTCTGAATGAAGAAAATAAGTTTGAAACCAAAGAGAGCCTAAAGTTGAGTACAATGCTGTACATAATGACACACTGTAGGAGGGTCCAAGCCACTTAAGCCCTTAACCACCACGAGTGACTACCATCTAATTTCTCTTAGTTTATAATATCACCCCTGAGTAAAGAGAAGACAGGAAATGATCATCAACTAAAGAAAACTTTGATTGCCAGATACATTTTCCTTGTCAGCACCTTAGAAGATGTATAGTATTCAGTATGGGGAGTGTATATACTGATGTAAGGACATAAAGGTGAAAGCCAAAACTGTGCTACTTTTGAACAATTATTGTGAATTAAAATCAACAAAAAAAAATTTGAGATGTGTTTGCTGAATTGATTGTTGCTTAAGACTAACAAGGTACTAAAGAGTAACAGAATTGATTACCTCTGTTTCAACTGCTTCCTCATAATTTTCCACAAAATCTTTGGAATAACTATCAATAATGACTGCTTTTCTGATATCATCTGATTCCAGTTCTAACAAAGCTTCTGCTAATGTCTGCCTTTGTGTTCCACATTCTTTTTTGGCTGGCTGTGGAAGCTGAGTTAAGTCAATACCAACATTACCAGGAAGAGGGAATTGAGGATCTTTAGGTGCAAATGGTCCTAGTCTGGCATCTGGCCAATTACCTGCAAAAAGGTTTATCTCTCTTAACAAAGGGTTCTCATGTGATCCTTACTTGTAAGCAAACAACAGAACAGTTCTCTTCTTCAGTGATTTAAATTAATTATTAATTAATTTCAGTCCTTTATTAAGATAAACTGGACAATATAATTCAATCCAACAAATAGTTTGAACCTGGAATAATTATTTGAACATATAGTCTGATTGAAGAAGGGATGAAGAAATACATGAGACAAGAGGGGCAATCAGGAAGCGGGCCCAGGATAGGGAAGAATGGAAAGACTTTGTTGTTACCTTATTCCCCAGGAGGTGTGATGGGCTGATAGTAACTAAGTAAGTGGGTAGAGTCTGATAATGAGGGTAGTCCTGAGAAGGACTTTTATACCAATATAGTGATGACTCTGTGCTCTCTCAGTGCCTGAAGTACCCCTAATTATTGTCTAAAATCACATAGAATTCCAGAAAATTCATCAGGTAAAAAGATTACTCTTCTAGTTTGAAAATTTTTTATTGCGATTCTAGTATGTTATCCTACAAACAGGTAAGAGGAGTTGACAAAAGCATCAGCAAGAGGGTGTTATGTTGTTATAACACCAAATTGCCCTACAATAAACTGCATAGCAGTCAGTAGGGAGAAATACTAAGAGGTCTTGCAACTCAAAGGGTTAACCAGGTCTTCTTTAAGAAAGGATATTTTCTTTCCTCTTTTCCTCCATACCACAATTAACAATAATGATGACAATTTCAATTTAAGACATCATATAGGCAGGAGTCATACTGTACCAGATCCATCTCCAGAAACTGCAGTATCTGTCCTTGATGTACTCAGCAATGCTCCTTGCTGAACATTCCTGACCATTTGATTGACAACAGCCCTTATACTAGGAAAGTACTCAACAGCACGGTTCGTCCTTCTTAGAGCCTGTTAGAAAAAATGCAATTTTGGTTAACATGGCCTGTTTTAAGATTCTTAATTTCAGCACAAAAATGCCTATATATCATGAGCTACAGGAATTGTTCATGAGATATATCTAACTCTTAAAGTTCATTCAAAATATTCCTTTGGGTTAAACAAGACAATTTAAACATTCAAACTGATTATTATTTTTTCATGAGTTAGTGCACATTAAGTACATTATTAGATACATTTAACTGAATTCCATTTAAGATTGGAAGGTATTGCTTAATTGCTCAAGAGAACTGAATTCTTTGTGGCTATTTATTTTGCAGGGTATTTTTTTCTTGAGAGACTTTGTTTTAAGGATCAAGAATAATCTCCAACATTTTTCAAATTTAAAGCCCGTGACAACCATATACTACCCTGTAAACCTCTCTTTTTACCTACTTCATAAAATTGGTTGGCACAGAATCACTGATAAGGAGAAATTTGAACTATTTGGCAATGGTATGAGAGAAAAGTTCTCCCAGGAGAGATGAAATGTAAAGTGCTTTGATTAACTGTATGTTGATCCTGAAATATATTGCTAGGTGCACTAGTTTAGCTTCTTTATTGATAACGCAATGTGCAAGTTTGAACAATTTTGAAAGCAAAATTAACGACTTGATCGTATCTGGAATTTGACAAAAATTAGGCTTCCCTTGACTTTGTATACAATGCCAAGATTATCTTCATTTATTAAAGGCCAACGAAAATGAATGTAAGTTTACATAGAATACGACTTAGAGCGTCACAGTTAAGTTCACTTCACTAATAATAATCTAAAATTGGAAATGGTACTCGAACTGAAAATTATAAACTTAATTTACGATTATAGTCGTTTATTCAACGAATCAACACTCCTGAAATAACCACAATTTTCGTCAAAAACTTCATCAGCATTAAATATTGAACTGTGTAAAACTTACTTTCGTGGCCATTATTTTGTTCACGCATCAAATTCAGTCAAAACATAGGAAATTTACGATTTTCAGGCAGATAGAGAGAGAACTAGACAGGTATGACGAAATGCATGAAGTGAAAACCCAATTACCCACAATGCATCAAAATATCACAGCAACAAAAAAAGCTTCCGTTTCCGTTTCCACTACAAACATCGAGATCGCTTGTTCTGCAAAGAAGTCTTAGGCTTCCTTCGATAGAACAACTTCTGTCAGTTGGTCTTTCATTGTGGGCTTAAATTTTTTTCATATGCTCGGTTAATGATAATGAACATTGTACCGAACTTGAACATTCTATTCTCTATTCTCAGTCATCAAATTGTTGTTTTATTTTTTATCGGCAACATTCACCACGTTATAAACTCGCTACTCTCTCTCCTCAAACCTGTCATTCTAATCCTAACGTCTCCTTTTTCAATTTTAGCCTAGTGGTGGATGCGTAGGGATCATGTCACGCAACTTTCGTTTACCATGATTGAACAGGTTTGACTCTCATAACCAAAATCGGATTTACGCAACAGATAAGGTTTTACTTGATCTTATAGAAACATACCCTATCCCCAGGCTTCATTTCCTCGTGCTGAAAGGCGAGAATGCATATATAATGTTTTTTTTCCTTATTTCAAAATATGTATACATATATGTATATATGAGAGGTTAGGAAGATACGTGACAAGTGGCTGACATTGCATGACTATTGATTTGGTAGCGTGACAAAATGTAAAGACCCGGGGCTCTGGGTTCCAATTTGGTAATACACACACAGCTTTGCAGATGACAACTTTGCACCTTTCGAGTACTTCACTAATTGTTTGCTTCATAGTTTTTTTAGAGCTGTCCTATTGTAGTTCAAAAGCTCAGACCGAACTCCTCTTTAAATATGACGAAGCTGGCTCCCAGAAAAGCAACGAAAAGAGGCCACATAGGGGGGCCGAAATTAGACAACCCGCCAAAAAATCTTCGAAAAAACATATTCAGAGGAAGCAAGAGACATCTTCAAGATGGAAAATTGGTCTCGTCATTGTCGTGCTTTGTTTATTAATTGGAACAATTGTTGTGTATTTCAATCCTTTCACCCTAACTGGTCCCAGAGGAAAGGTTTCACAGGGTAGGAATGACGATCAAAATAAAAGAGCGAAAAAGTCGAAAGATGACCCAAGTGAGGACCAAAAACAGAAATCGACAGGTAAGATATTTTTTAGAATTCAACGTTTTAGAATAAACGCGGTATTCTGCGTTGTAGGGTAATTAGATCTCAACATTAAGGCTGGATATTTGTTTATGCTAATATTCCTGATGGAAGGAACCAGTAACATTTCTGTTGCCTCGTAGAATTTGATTGCATACGGTAATAGAGTCAGCCAGATAAGTTCATATAAATATATATCCAAAAAAATATTATACAATAATTTTACACAATCCTCCCCGACTTTTTTCTGTTGGGAACTGACTGTTATATGGCTCACTAATCAAAAATTGAATTATTTTCAGTTATTATCGATGGACTTGCCTGGCCTGACCTCTAGGTTTTTACAAATACCTTCAAACAGGCTGAGATACCTTGACTCCAAAGAAAGACAATTCCCCACTTAGTTGTTGGTTTTCACGTTTGCAAAATCCGTTTAGTTTTATCCTAAAGTTGGTGAATCTTCAGGTGCTAAGGCCCCATTTATATGGTCTCAGGTACCCAAGACAACCTTCCTCCTCAAAGTTACTTTGTGTTATGAGGCATTTTGGGAGTTGGAAGTTGCACTAGCTGACCCCTTACTAGTCTCTCCTGTGACAGCTAGCCAGGTTACAAATTGCATAAAATTTGAGCTGCCTCATCTTGGGCAGGCAAGCCAAAGTTTTTGCGTAGCCTCTAACTGGGAGAAGCCAAAATCAAACAGCTCACCTTCCTGAAAATTTTCTTAAAGAAATAAGTGAAAAATTAGCTTTAGCCAGGTTAAATTGGGTGAGAGTTGTCTTGCAGACCATATAAATGGGCTGTTAATTAAACTTTTCTAGAAAGAACCCTCTCTTGTCCCTATAGCATTTGATTGTACCAATTGGCCTGTGGATAGAAAAACCTAAATTTCTTGCAAAATTATCATAACAAATCCTATGTTTTATTCACCCTTTGTAATTGTGGTGATGATTGTTATTTTTTTGTTTTCTAAAGGAGCTCATGAAATTCCTAAAGAATATAAAGATTTCAAGCTGTCTATTCAAAGTGAGCTGCAAATGATGGATCTAAAAGAAAGGAATCAATTGCTGAAACTCAAGTCACTAACACACAGCAATTCCAAAAGTAGCGTCCGCGCATATGTGATTGAAAATTTCCTCAGTGACATGGAATGTGATAGGCTTGTCATGGTACATGACAAGTACGTGTCTGAGCTAAACAAGCAGGTACCCATTATCTGCTTTGACGGTATCAAGTCTTTCCGTGAATACTTAAAAGAAGCAAAGCTAAAATTAAAGGTGTCTCTGACTGATTTCACCAGAGGAACAACCTGCATAAATGAGACATTTTCAAAAAAATTACAGCCTCACTTTAAGTGGAGTTACAGCACAGCATTTTATCCAGGGGAGAGTAAATTTTCAACAATATTTGCTGAGAGAATATCAGAGGCTACAGGGCTGAAACTTGAAAATGGTGGAAAGTTCCAAATTACGTCATACCCACAGAATATTGGTAAGTTATAAAGTGAATATTAATCTCATTAATATGAATCTAGACATTGATAATTGAGAGGTTTAGACAGGGTACAGGCAATTTACATATTAGTCCTTTCCTAGATTGAGCAATTTGTTCAGCATGTAAGTCATAGAACTTGGATAGAGCCAATGGCTACGCACCACACCAGCCCATTTTAAATGCAAAATTACTTTAGTATATTACTGCTTAGGTATCTGTGCACATGTTATTAGCAGTCAAGCATTCAAGCAACAAATTTGTTCTAGCTTCTTGGAAAGTTTTAGTTTCCCTCCCACCCACACCATAGGCAACGTTTAATGCATCCTTCAAATACTTTTAATGTAATAGTCTTGTGGTTTATGTACGTAGGATGTATACATTCAATAAACTGCCTGGTCCAAAACAATTCTCTATCAGTTGCAGTGTTTAGCAAACTGTTTCATGTGGTTCAGGTCAATATTTTCATCAAAACTGCATGGTTTAAGGTTTTTGTATATGAACAGTGTTATACTAATCAAAAGTAGCTAGAAATCAAAGAAAAGTGTTTGATATATAATTTTGATTTAGAATAAAATAAAACCTTAATATCTGGTTAAAGTCTGGACAGTTGTTCAAAAAAACAGCTGTTTAAACATGAGCTGACTCTTGTTAACTAAATATCAGTATGTAGATCCTCCAAACTATTCTTTACTCATTTTCTATGGTACTGAAAGTTTCTTTAGTTGGCAATCATTTCCCTTTTTCCTATTTCCTCCAACCTTGATTTGTGATTCATCAGTGGGGTGTAAGGAGAAATTAGATGCTGGTCACTCTTGGTTCCTTTTCACCTTTTTTCTCGGGAAAGTAGCATTGCTGAATGAATGGAAGGATTGTTGATTCAGATTTATGTTTACTAGTTGAAATCCCTACATTATTTTTTTTCCCTTTTCATATAACAGTTGACTTACCCCTTTAGTAAACTTTCTCAGGCTACAAGAATCACACTGACTGCATTGTTGACAATGACGAGAAACGAGACCGATTTGCAACTATACTAGTGTACTTGAAAGATGTAGAGGAAGGTGGAGAGACAAAATTCCCACAACTGGGAATCAGTGTGAAGCCTCGTAAAGGTCTTGCATTAATATGGAACAGCATGAACAACCATGGAGAGTGTGACCCCACTTCTTTGCACAATGCTGCCAAAGTGATCAGAGGACACAAGTTTATTATACAGAGATGGTAAGTGTAATGAATGAGATGGTACTGTTAAGGGGAAAGAAGCTGTGGCCTTGCAGTTCTAGTGCTGGGTTCTGTGTTGGGATGGTATGGGTTTGTGCTTTAGCTGGGGCCAGGAGATTCACTCTTGACCATGATACTTAAACTGGCACAGTACCTCTCCACCTTTTCGGTAAAAATTTCTTGAATCTTGCTTTTGTTTTTATCTGATTCATACACATCAGGTTATTTTGAAAGGTTATTGGGAGGATTTTTTGATATGACCCAAACATGCAGATGATTTCCTACCCTAGTATTAAGGCTATGAAATCTGGATTTAGAAAAATCTTTTTTAACCCTGGTTATTTATTTTTTCTTTTGAAGGTACTACTACCATAATTTCCCTACCCTTGGAAAGCGACCTCCACAACCAGAACTACCAAAGCGAGGAGTCTATCAGCCCCGAGTGTCTTGTGATGAGTATGAGCAGGGCAGCTGTCGGTGGTATGATGAATGGAACTACGATCACATTGTTGATTATACAGCTAATCTGCGCAATCTTATCTGAATATGCAGTCTCAACAAAATGAATTTTTTTGAAATGGCAAGAATGAGATGAATCATTAAGATATCACCATCAGTAAAAATCAGTCATTAAAGTTATAATTCATTGAATATTTTTGCTAGAATTTGATTTATCTATATATGACACCTCACTGAATATGTTTGATAAAATGTTGTGATATCCAGTGATATTCTCTCAGTGATGTTCCACAAGACTCAACCTTGTAATCATTGTGGAGAAAATTGTCCATAGATAGTTTATTCAAGATAGGGGAAGCGTTTTGTTGTTGTTACAGAAGAATAGAAAAACGTGTTGGCCTATAAAGTTTCTCTGCAAAAGCAACATGCATTTGTGATGCTAAGCTGTTTGTGATCTCTCTCTTCTATGGATAGTAAGAATAATTGTATGATAGCCTCCATTTGGTTTGGAAATATAGTCTAGTGCTCAAAGCTTGCACAATTTTGCACCAAATGGAAGCTACTGTACACATATCGACCAATTTTAAAATTTCAAACTTCAACATAAAGTAAGGGATGTTGCTATGAGGCTATAGAGGATAACCCAATAAACTGTTGAAATTTTGAAAGAGGTTACTTATAGCCAATCAATGATCTTAGGGTAACAAGTGTAAATATTTGTCAATCATATGAGACTTTTTAAAGTTTCTTTCAAATGGCATTCTCAAAATAATACACTGTCATTATTCCTGCAGTTTAGAGGAAAGTTAGGAGGCATCAGAATGGTAATCCTAAAAATGTGAACATTTCAAAAGATTCTTTTGATATGTTTGATGAGAAGAAAGAATATTTTATGGACTGTATATTACCAGAAGACAGTGAAAAAGCATTATCACTTTGATCTTACACTGACAACTCAGTTATGTTCAGACCAATCACAATTAAGCCAGGGTTACCTGAGCAAACCTCAGAGCTACAAACTAATAACTGTTGTTTGCAGTTTACTTTTTTAAGTGACCAAGTGGCTTTTTCCTGAGAACACAATTTTTTATGAATATTTGTGTTTCAGAACTTAAAGTACAGACCTAAACCTTTTTTATTGAGAGGTGTATATAAAGGAAAACATTTGAACCTCTAACCCCTAAAAGTGACTTGCAGCTAATTTCTCCCAATATGTCACTCCTTAATCACATACAAAGGTCATAAAAATAGAGGAAATGATCACCATGTAAAGAAGCTCTTGATTGTTTGAGAAATTCTCTTGGTCTACTCCTAAGGGAATATATTGAAAACAGTGTGGAGAATATGCATACTGATATCAGGGTGTAAAAGATTAAGAAAAACCCAAGATGATGCATTGATTACACATTGTCTACAAGAGTCAGTGTCAGTTGTTTTCATGCTGTATATAGGTTTTGAATAATGCCATCCAACAGTAGCTGGTAATCAAGCCTAAGGTGTATATCACTATTTAAAAGATTGACTTGATCCAGCCCTGGTTGTTTAAAGGTTGGATAATGCCATCCACTGGATAAGTCAATAATGTGGACAACACTAAATGTTTAGCAATCACTCATCCATTACAACTGGGCCCTGATCTGTAGATTTGTCCAGAAAAAAAGACATTGCCAACAGAAAGCAATATGAAACAATTTGTTTCATATCAATTCAGTGAAGTGATTCCTGACCAAGGCAAAGAGAATTAAGAAACTTTGAGACTAGAAGAATAAAAAAATGCTCAGACCTTTTCTGTTAAAATTTTTAATAGTACTGAGTATGTGGTAATAGGAATACAATAAGTTACATGTGTTTAGCAAAACGTATGTCCAAGTAATTATACTCTCCTAAAATACAGAGAGCATCTAAGATATGTTAAGACATGGATAATTATAAAATGATCATTATCATCACTTTTTCAAGATGTGAAATCACACCCTATACCTGGGGACTGGTTCAAAAAAATCCAAGGAAGCCAACCAAAACACATCTCTCGACAGAAACTGACAATTCCACAAAATAAATACGAGAATGTTCCCTGACAGAAAATTTTAGTTCTTGTTCAACATTATTCAAGGGCAGAAGTTGTACTTTCGGTTACCGGTAACACTGACCTAGCCAGTAGATCAGTTAGAAGAGGCACAAAACAGGTCTCAGTACACAAACTCTGGAGCAGTCTTCACTGTCCAATAAATCTACAACAGATTTGATTTTCTTTCAGTGTAAAAATATACAAGTATTATATAGTTATTTCAATCCATAAAATATTTACATCAAGAACTGTAGTATACATTAAGAATTAAGCCAATGAATGCTGTATAGGTTTCTTTTTATATAAAACTCCTTAACTGTTAAACGCATTATCACTGAAAGGTTCGTCTTCTTTAAGTTACACTTAATATTAAATCTATCAATATAGTACACTTTTTTAACATGATGACAGAATAACAACATAATATACAATCTTCAACACTCAAATGCCCCCTGACAACGGTACATCAAGGGTGGTTGGTACTTTTTTTTGTATAAAATTTCTTTAAGAAAGCTTCCAAACACTAGCACTACATCAAACAAACATGTTGAAAAAAAGACAACAACAACAACAGCAAAAAAACACACAAACTAAAGAACTCCAACATGCAAACTTCTTGTGGTAACTTACAAATGTTCAAGTAAAAAAAATCAAACCAGAGCCATCATTTACATTTTCCTGACTCAAGACCAAGCCAACACCAGGATCACAAGAAAACCATCCTTCTCTCTCAAACATTGCATAACTGTTTCCTTTTTATAAAGGACCACTCTAAAAAAATTGAAATCCCAAAAGTGTTCAATTTTTCCTTTATCCATTCACTCCCAGTGTACCCAAAACAGATTTCCTTTTCAAACTGTATCAACATTTGCAAGCAGGAAGGTGATGAGAAGCAAGAAAGATTTAAATGCGGAGATGTTGTTTGTCTAAAACACCAAATTCTCAATTGAGAAGAAATGTGACAGACATTGCAGAAAATTTATATTGAGATCTTGGGAGTTAGGGGGTAAATTGAGACAATATATAATGTTCAGAGATCTTTAGTAACAAATGCCTCAATATACAAGACCTTACAAATTTCATTACCATATACACAAGCTCCTTGAAACACACTATTACTGGAAAAGAAATGCCAGTCATGTAGAGCAGCCATCTTCATCCAGTGGAGAAAGAAAAACGACAGAAGAATAATTTTATCACAAGTACTTCTTCATTGAAGCACAAAACATCCACCCCCACACTATTTTCTCAAACCAAACAAGTTGGTCAAGATATCAAATTTTTTCATAGAACAGGTACATTAGGAAAAGATGTTTTAAAATAATTAAATAGGTTAATGCACAGGAGTCAGAGAGGAAACTAAGAAGAACCCTCTAGTCATTCTTAATGCTTGCAATAAATTAGTTATTTTTGTTAATCTTTTTTTGTTTTGTTTTGTTTTTGTTTTTTGTATTTCTAAAGTACTTCAGTTTCATGGTTGAACTGCATGGCAACAGTTTGCAGCTTGTTTAAGTCCCTTGCAGTTCTTATTACTGTGAAGCCTCCACTTGTGATAACTGTTGGTTTGCTGTTGCTGGAGAGGTGACGGCCACCTTGGGCAAGGAAGGAAGGGCATTGAAGACAGAAAATGCTGATCTTGCAGGGATGGTTATGAAGTTCACTTTTGTCTTGTCTGGGCAAAAAATCTGGGGCGATGCACTTCTAAAAGAAAGGGAAGGTTGTTACAAAGCTTATTAGGATTCTTTTTAAAGTCACATATGAATTAGTTTCAATCAAAACAATTAACCTTCATTCTGTTAAGCCTAGCTTCAGTTTATGTCTTATGGAGCACTTTTCAGCTGGGGGTTGTTAAAAAAAAAAAAAAAAAAAAAAAAAAAAAAAAACCACTAATGGCCAGGCGGGGTAGGGAAAATATCACAAAGAGCCAGTGAGAAGTCAAGATTAAAACAAATAAGCTGTCTGAAGTGAGGGAAATTGCACCAGACCAAGCTGCAATTGGTTTTAGTTTTGAACCCAATTTTTAAGAAAGTGGCAAGAGTTTTCTAGACCAATCACATGATGAAGTATAGCAAAACCATAGCAATCCTGCATTATTTTCAACACTCAATTGAATGCTACTTTACCAGATGAACTCCTTTTTATGTTTTCTGTTGTCAAGATGCTTATTACTGTGGGTGTCAGTGAGGTTTGATTTCATCAAATTCATGTTGGCAAGGTAAAACTACTGCATTGATTTTATTCAAAAATAAATTCTTAAAACTAACAAGCTCTTTAGCAGTAACATGCTGACTGGTTAACTTGAGCATTAAAAACAACATGAAAAACATTTTGAAACTTTCTTAACCTCCTTTTCATTAAAGGGTTACCCACCTGTCAGCATCTTCAACATGTAATGGGACTTTCTCTGCTCCATCAGGAGGCTCCCTCGCAAACAGATAAGAATTATTGGGCTTTGGTGAGGAGGCATATTTAGAACCACCTGAAGGAAGCTCAGGAGAAACATTTTCTTCAGCATCTGCAGCACCTCCTGAGGAACATCTTGATGAAGGCCTTGAATCAGATGCCCCTGGCATGATGGGGTAGGTTGGGGATGCAGAATGGCTTCTGCTGCTGCTGCTACCACTGCCACTACTATCTTGCCCCTCTTGATTATTAGAGGGAGTCTGCGTGTGAGTGTCTACTGTCCGAAAAGGGGCCCCAGACAGTACCTCAAATACAGGGGCTTTGCGTCCATCTGGAACGTGTTCTGATGTCTAAGGAAACATAAACCCCCCTTTAATAAATACAAATTCATGCATTTTTTAAGGTTAACTAGGCCATTTTCTGACACACCAAAGAAGGAGGCAATGGTAAACAAGCCAGGATTAACTTGAGATATGTTGTGTCAACACATAATAAACATACCCTTTCTGTTGAAGCATCTGTCAAAACAAGTTTCTGAATTTCAGAGTTTAGGCCTTCCAAGCTTCTTTTCTGAGGTCCTTCTGATGGTCTTGGGCCCAAAGGGATTGAAATGGGAATTGACTGAGGCAGCCGGCTTGCTGGAATAGCAGTATGATCACCATGAAGGGGAGACTGGCGGCCATACGTATGGCTAGATTTACTGCCTTGCTTTGTGCGTTGAAGATGTTGTTTCAATTTCTATAAAAAGATTGTTAAAAAGACGGGATTAACCTTGAGAAAGTGGCTTTCATCAATAATTATCACCAATAATAATTATTGTTAAAGAGCAACATAGTTTCAGTAAAAGAGATACAGGAAGACCAATAGCAGGTTTTGGAACACATTTCCCATTTCTCTGGAAACTGAAACTGTTGTTCCCCAGTCTATGGGTAGATTTCTAGAATTCCAGGAACCAATATTCATCATTTTTATGGGGAAAGGGGTTAGGGGATAGAATGAGGAAGAAGGGGGGGAAGTAAGGGGAGTGGAATGCCACAGACACAGGGAGTTGGTGTAGTTAACTTAAGAGCTCAAAATACATTAAGACCTTAACCTCTATAAAGTTTAAAGAGACTACCTCTTTAATCTTCTGGTCTCCACTTCCCAGGGAATTTGATCGCTTGTTTCTTGTTCCTGAATTATCTTCAATATCCCCCTCTTCCCAAACTGGTGTCTATAAAAACAACACAATTAAGAAAAATATATATTGTAATCCGAGCAGAACAGCCACTTCATTCTTACAATGTTACAATGGGAATCTCTTTCTCTATACTAAAAATAATCATTTCTTCATTAAGAATATTCTATGAGACTGTCATGCTGGAAATCACCAGGATGTATCAGGCTAATAGAAAAATTTTCTTACCCACTAGTCCTTTGGACGAGCACTGTATTAAATTTTGCTGTCCCAAACCTAACTAAAATTTTGAGCCTGGGAATAAGTTATGTATTAATAGGCCTGGTTACTAGGGCCAGATTCCCGAGCCAAATGGAGCTCATAAGAGAACAAATAAAATGGCAGCAGAACAGTAGAGTTAAAAAGAATATTTAACCTTACTTTGTCAAGTACAAGGGTTTTTTATAATTAAAAGATGTATTTTAACTCTACTGTAATTCGAAGTTAATTTTCACTTGTTTCTTTGTTTTTCCTTACTATGCACAAGTTATATCAAAGGATTACATGTCCAAACTAAATTTCTACTAGTCCCATACAATTGGACATGGGTTTTTCGTGCACACTGTGTATACTACAGCTTAAATTGACATATTATCACATTGCAAAACAATCTACAATTCCATAGTTTCTCAGTCACTTTTTAAGCTTGGGTACCTGTGCCTATTGTGAAACAAAATAAAGCTATTGCTTTGCTCCCATAACAATTTCATTTATGCAAATTCCTTTGTATTACTCAGAATGAATGAAACATATAAGGGGTCTCCAAGTTTTTTGTTTCTGCCATAACAACACACCCCTTCATTAAGGTTTCTTATCATCCAGTAAACAAAATTGTGTGAAAGCAGTTATCACATCAAAACATGTTTTTCTTGTGTGTATTCACAATTAGATGCAAAAAGAAGTTAGCAGTCTATCCTTGCTGAATTTGAAATTGGTCCTTGACTCTTCAAACATTATCTGATCCAAGAAGCATTTCTTCCTACCTCCAAAGAGGTGGAAATAAAATTAAAATATATATACCCTTTCTGAAGTAAATGCATGACTTTCTACTAAAAATTGAATTCAATGAGCATCAAATTTGTTCATTGACCCAATGAATATAAGACAACTTCTAAAGACAGCCATTTTAACCCCTAGTATTGACAAGTGACATACAACTTTCTAATATTTATTGGTAACTTTTATGTTCACTGTACATTAAAAGAGAGTTTCCCACAAACTTCTTACTTAAAACAGTACCAGCCCTTCTCTAGTCTGCTAGACATTTGGTTATAAGCAACCTTCTTTAATGTGTGAATGAATCTCTCCCCACAAGGTAATATTAAGATGGAAAATTAAACTTTGATTAAGCTTTTCCACATTATGACCAAAAAATTTTGTATACTGTCATAGTAAATTTTTTGAAAACAGTTTTAATCAAGCTTACAAATTTAGAAGCCACCCTTTCTCTAGGTTAATGGAAACAGAATATCAGTTACGAGTTGTGATGAGGAAAAAAAACCGAAGCCTGTTTAAACAAAGATAAACTTATTAGCAAATTGAATTCAATATTAGAATTTAAATATTTTTCATATTATAAGGAACAAAAGTGACAAGTTGTCAAAAACAGATAATCTATCAGTCAACAACACTAAAACAAGTTAACCTTAAATCTTCCAAAAGGCCGAGTATAATAAAACAATTTTAAGAACAGCCTGACAAGTTGTCAAAGTTCAGACAAAAAAAGCTCAAAAATATCACGTACTGTAGCAGACAGTTGGTTGTGCTAACTCAGTACACCATCAAAACAATACTCACTTAAAATCTTTACTTCCATCTACTTACTTTTTTAAACAGCATGTAAGCTGTTTGTGAATATTTTTAAATGAGAGCATTATGTTTTTCTCTCCTGAGGATTACAAAGTCCAAGTCCCAGCATAAGAGAGAACACAGATAAAGATAAAAAGAGTGCTCCCAGCCCTCTTCCCACATTGTTAGTCGGTAATCCAACACATCAGCTTTGGATTTAGCCTTCACACATGTATGCCTTGCACATAATTTGTTGAAATTTGCCATTCTAACTGAACTAACAGCCGATTACAATATAGATCTAACAGCAACAACAGGATAACAAAAAGACAACTTGTATAGATCCTCAAAATATAAATGATATCTAACAGAAAATAGAATTCAATGCACATACTCTAAGGAAGGTTATCTGACGACAGCAAAACATCCACCAAAGCACTATCTTCAGTGCTGGTTGTGTATGTGCCCTTAGTTGATGGCAAACTGTGTGCACCAGTAAGTGCTTAGTTTATTACAAAATGCCATGTGTGCTTTCAGACTTGTCACTAAATTCTTTCCTTTCAATTGCATACCCAAGAGGAAAATTAAGAACTTTGTCACCAAAATGGTTTTATGGCAATTTTTTACACAGCATATTAAGCAACATGTAAGAAAAAACTTTGAATAGAGGTTCCTGTCTACATTCAAGAAGAAACTTTCTGGAATTCTGATTTTTAAAGCAAAAAAAAAAAAAAAAAACATTGAGCTTCCACTTCAAGAAGGAAAAATATTGATGGAGTTATGATGGTTTTAGGGATACCAGAAATCCTCAAGAAATCTTGATTTCCCCTGAAAATACGACACTTGAAATAAACAGCCAAAAGGTAAAGGTGATATCTGCACACGTGTACCTTCCAACTGAGACAGTAGTGGGTTTAATAAGAGACCACAAAAAAATTTGCTTGAGAATTAGAAATGTTGTTTATTTCCCAAGTAACATGGGATTTAAAGCTTAAGTATCTGCAAAGCCTTGTTTAACTTGTCAGTACTGCACAGGATCAGATGGGATTAATGCCGAAGAAGCCAATTGGGTGAGAATTTAGGGCTAGGAAAATGTGAGGGTGAAAATTGTGGTTTATTTTGCTCTGTTTATATGAATTGCACAAGGGAAACAACCTTTTGAACTTAAAGAGTACATAAATCTCAACTAAATTAACCCTTGCCAGAGTGAGTTGTTGTAACGGTTACCATTACTTTCAAAAGTCATATGTCTTTAAGCAGGACTTTTTCATCGATACAATTTTCATTACAATAACTCAACCCCTCTCCTCCTGTATCAAACATTTCCCAAATTTTATTTCTGCAAACAAGTATACTAGAACTCCAGTGTGTACCCAGTGTCCTTACACTTGCAAAACAAGACCAAATGAAATGAAAAAATCTGAAAATTGCCTCCAAGGACTCCTTCACAGTTGTTATGCAAAGGTGGCCATTTCTGAGGAATAGATTAGGAAAAGCCTAAACATTGGACCTTCTCTAGTTTCATCCTTCCAGGTTCCTGCAATGATGTCCAGCCCTTTTGCCCTAAGCCTATGCCTAGAAGGGCTGCTTGAACTATCAATGCCAAATATCTTTTCTTTCAATCTCTAACTTGTTTAAAGTACAGATTATGACAAAAAATATAAAAACATTACATCTATTACAACAACATTCAAAGGAATGTTTCAAACCCATTTAAACCACAGATTGTGACTAAAAAAAAAAAAACTTTAAAAAATACATCTATTGCATCAACATTCCAGGGACCTTAACCTTTCCAACATTTAGAGAGGTTGCTTCCAAGAACACAAATTATGTCTTTCAAGTCTTGTGGCATCATGTACTGTTACTGTTTAATTTGACTTTAAGTTTTAGGTAAAGGTAAGTTTTACAGTAAAATAAGATAGTGCCTCCTTGTACAACGTTTCTGATACAATGACTTCCCTCAGCATGGACAGTGATACCTTTAGTACAGTAGGGTTGAATTCATTGCAAGATAAGGGAGTAAGCTATAAAAAAGCTGTAGACATGTTCTCTGCTAGGGCTCTTAAAAGGGCGTTTTGCCTACTTGGAGTCAGTTACCAAAAACACTCTACAGTAGGCATTACTTGAAAAACTGGCAGCTATCCCGACGGTTAAATGTACATCCCATCTGAGAGGTTTTCCTTGCTTAACTCAATTCTCCTTGTAATTTTAAAATAATCAAAACAGAATCAAGAACTCTGGCTCTAATCTACAGGTTAAAAATAACTTTTTGAGAAGTGATTCTTTGACCCCTCAATCAAACTCAAAGTCCTTCCCTCCACGCCAAAATATTCAGCGATATTTTTATTTCTTTGCTACCTCGAAGTTTGATTTGCAAAATTCTACAATATCTTTTGTGAAGCTGACTTTATTACAACTGTTAAGGCAAACTTAATTTACAGCTCAGATCATCAAATTTCAAAGTTGCTTGGGAATCAATGTCGTTGTCATGGCTGTGGTTTGGTAAGTGTGTCGGCAAAGCAAATTTGCTTAGCTTACCCCGTTCCATGCGAACATATAACGACCTTTCCAAGTCCAAATACGTGTAATTGGCCTACAACTTGGCCAGTTTTTAAGAAATGTATTATTAAATGAGCGGTAGCTAACTAACCTGAGTTGATTTATGGCACACACTCGGACCGTAACTTCCAACGTCTTTCGGCCACTGTCCACTCATGTAAGGCGAAATGGCGTCTATGGATGGCGTTCTTCTTATGGAGCCCGAACTGCTTTTCGACAATTTACCTCTCTCACCTGCACAGAAAATAATTTCAGTGTCAGTAAGCTTAGTCCAAACTGTTATGAAACAACGGAAATGGCTTTCAGTGTAAGTCAATACACTGAACGGAGAGAGAGAAGAACCGATACATCTACATGAAAAGCGAAATTCGCTGACTTACCACACTGAACTTAAACGAAAAGAATGAATATATAATTAACAGCTGGCACAGTAAAACTTTTTCAGTCATAAATAGTGACTATCCTAAGTTTCAGAGCCCGTTTTAAAGGTTACTTAAAAGAGCACGTCAGCTAACCTTTCGAGCTAGATAAAGATGGTGAAGAAGGACTACGACGATGCTCAGGAGACCCACGTGTTTCAGGAGAACTTCTTCGATGTTTGAGGGTATTTTCACTCCCATGAACCGGTGAAGAAGATGGACTTGGTCTTCGTAGTCCATTTCCGCGAGTAGAACTCGGATTGCTGGGAGATATCAGCGAAAATGGTAAAGTAGCCCGCATAGGTTGTAGTTTGGAGCTCGATGCAGGCGAAGCATTTCGACGCGGTCTCTGGGACGGCTGTGAAGCCATTGTGTCCCGAAAAACCTACAGAGAGAAATCAGATGTAGTATTTATTTCATCGTTTCGCTTTGGCTTCTCCAATCTAGTTTTAACGGTGAAAAGTTACCGATAGAATCCTGTCCAACTATCCGTTCCCACACTACCCACCAACAACACCAGTTGTGGTGGAGTAAGCATTCTAATTACATCGATGCAAATTAGCTGCGCGCTCATTGGCTGATAGGCGTTATTTGACAAGACGCCCGTTGGGAGAATTTCACTTGCGACCAATGATGCATTTTGAAGCGACACAATGGCCGAGCCACGCTAAGCTTGTTTCCAGGTTATCGAAAACAAAATAAAATTTTGGTTTGCCCTCGAATTAGAAACAAGATTTTCCAAAACGGTTAAGCCTACGTATTCAGGTTGTTCCAATGGAGGACGCCCTCTGATTAAGAAAAATAAATTCAGCCCGTAGGGTTGAAGAACTAGTTAAGAATGAAATGTGTGCGAAAAACACGTGTTCGTTTAAATATTGCGGTTTTGAAGCGCTGTACGCCCATATATTTTCTATTCATCAATGAAATGCCCCTAAATATCAACAAGCAACCTGTTTAATAATAAGCCTAAACTGACTCTAGCCACAAACGCCACACTCTAAACAAACTTACTAACCCTCTCGCCAACATTTTTCTTCAAAAAGCAGGCGTTCAATTCTTGTCAGATATCACTTTTATTCGTGTCAAATTGACACAAAAGTTTAAAAGAAAATTTATGACCATTAAAATATGCAAAAGCTCATTAAGTTTATATGATTTCCTTAAAACAGGCTCCACTTAAGCACTCTTAACCGTGTTAATTCGGTTCGTTCCTGATAAGAATAAAAATTCCTTGTTTTTTAAAAAAAAATTCGTTTTCTGTTTGCTTGAAGCGAAGGTAAAGTGAAATTTACATCGTATAGCCTGTCACGCTAGATTTTACGCTAGGCTGATTTTCCCGCGGAAAACGTCAACACCAGCTGTCTAATGGTTTCCTTGATTCTGATTGGCTTAATTTAGCACGAGGTAATTGTGCGAAAAATGTTGTTTTCTATTGAAACTTCGTTTGGAAAAAGTGGAAACTGCTTTCCTAAGTTTCAGAATTATTTGTATCCAGCAAATCCTTGTTCCATAGCACAGTTGGTGGCAAATTGCCTCTGGCCTCTAGAGACTATTGAAAAATTCGTATCGGAGATGTGATCGTTTAATTTATTTCTCATTATTCAGCTCATTCAGTGACATACTATTTTGAGCAGTATCTGCCCGTAAATCACGCGTTAAGACCTCTCTCATTCTCCATTCTTTTCAAATCGATCCAAAATTGCTTTCAGAACCGGTCAATAAAATAGATTTATGTTCGTGGTAAAATACGAATCATGTTGTTTACCCATCCCGCGGAGTTTATGTCATTTATAATTGATGCTCTTGATGAGAAATACAACCCAAAATTAGCGCCACGGTTCGAAACTGACTTTTTTCAATGTAGAGTTTAGAGGAAAAAATTTCTTCAAGAAAGAAATTACCTTCCCTGTTATTCGATCGCAATATGTTATGTTTTGGTTGCCATTCGTCGACTATTTCGTAATATGACGCGCTTAAAAAACACATTTTGTACATTGTTGATGAAATTGGAATTTCTCCCAGTTCATTTGCGGTCTATAGTAGTTTCCTTAATGACAACAATGTCACTCGACCATTCATAACTGCTGCTTCAGTCAAAGTGGAAAAAGCATCACTCGATGTAGTCCTGGAAATCGGCGAAATTGAATGATATCTTCCGTGTGTATTTTGTGATCATAAATTGATTAATACAAACAGAAATTCGAGCCTTCAAAAGCTTTCCACCTTTCAGATATTTTGTTTTTTTTAGAAACTTGAAATATGAATTCTTTTTTAATTTGTGGATAGCTTGCGCGAGAACAGAACAATTTTAAAACCCTTGCGTGTATTTCTACGCTTATTTCAAGGTTTTTAACGCTTACTTCGGTCATTTACTTCGCGAGAGGAAATTCAGTTTCCTCCGCCGGAGACAAATCATATTTTTCTCATGAATTATTCCAACTTCGATCTCCAATGGACAGTGAAAGGTAAACACAACTAAGACCATTTTCTCGATTCTTATCGCGAAATTTGAGATGAAACCATCACAGCTTGAATTTTACGCAACTTCAAGAGCAAAGTGCTTGCCACGCAACTATGAAGAACCAGTTTGTGTACAGCTGGCTTCACAATAGGTTCTAGAGGAATATTTATATTGTTACACTTTCCACTTTCGCAACGTGGTGTACGCTCTTTAAAGGATTTTATTTGCTACTAGTATTAATTAAAGAGAAACTAAGTTAGCTGTTCTTCCTGTTTGTCCATGAGTGAGAAATATCTGAGCGCTGTAAATTCTCAAACAATAATATAAAGGAGTACAAATTATGAAATATAGATCAATATATAACGTTGATAACTACAGACAAAGTGAAAAATGATTGCTTACGGCTTAGTGGCTAAGATTGGCCTTTTTTTTCCACATTTTTATCACTCGATACAGAACAAACTGAATTTTAATCATGTTGGTTTGTTTATCAAATAAAGTAAGAACGCGATGTGGTATAATTCGTTCAGGGAGTGTGTCGGATAAAGGCGAATAAAAAACCCCAAATTTACAATTAAAATTTATTATGACAAGTGAAAGGAAAATTGAACTAATACATGTTTTAAGAGGAATATTTGCATCTATCGAGGGAAGCAATCCATGGTATCTGACACCCGCTTTTAAGCGTTAAAAGGTTACTAATTTTGTGAAAAGAAAGCTTCGTCGTATGTCCAGGAGATTATTTACCATGGGAAATGCAAGTTCGCTATCATTATAGAAGGGTTGAAAACGAGGGGTTTGACTATCTCAACTAAACTGGGATTGGGCCCGCAAATTTATGCTATTGATTAGAGTGATATTGAACGCCGAAAGGCGAACGGAATGGAAGAAAAACAAGCTGAAAAAGTGTTTTTGTTTACGCGAATGTGTGTGCGTGTTTTTTTTTTTTTTTTTTTTTTAAGAAAAGACTATTAACGAGGTCGATTCCAATATCCTTTCAAGGCAATCAAGATAGAATTGTAATTTCTACCCAAAATGAATTTGTACTATTCTTCTCGCGTTTTTAATAAGAAACCTGATAATTTTCCTGACAAAGGTGATGGCTATTGTTTCTTTCTACAACATGTCAAGGACTTTTCTATAGCTTGTTATCCTAGCGGCTCTTAACACTGAAATCTGAAAGCTTGTCATTGCATTTCGGATTAAGGTGATTCTGTCCGCCCTATCTGCACACATCAATGCCAAGATTCCGAATTCTATAAAAAATGTGTACTTTTAAGCTTTTTAAAGCTCTCAGGGGTAAAAGCCACACTTGTTAAGGGGAGGGATTTGATGGAAAGATTTGACTGAAAGAGATATACAATAAGCTGCAACGACATCATTTATCGACCAAAGAGTAAATTATAATGATAAACAGCATTTAAGCACGTGGGTTTAGACAATGAAAAGCTGGACCACAGCATGGGTAGATATGGCTTGAGTATTTGCATTTTAAAAGCATACATGCATGTAGAACATTGATCACTATATCATGCCGACACGCTTAAAGACCAAACAGTATGGCGACATTGCGTCCGTCTGGGAACTGCGTGCTGTGTTGATCTCGAATTAAGCACGAAAACTGCAAAAAAAAAAACGACCAAAAAAAAAAAGACAAAGCACTAGCACGTATGCGACACGAAATTGGATTGGTGATTGAAAAGCTTGAGACAATGAAAAATTGCCGTCCTTTTCGCGAAGAAAGCAAGTGCCGGAGTTTTGCGTAAATGGAACAGTCAGATGAGGGTTTCTAAGACGTCTGTAAAAGTGGAGAGGATTGGGGGGGGAACATTCCCCAAGATCAGCTAGTAGGGGTACGTGCCGGGAATACAACACACTTTTCGGGGTCATGAACCCTAAAAAAATTGCAATTTTAGTAATAAGCGTCTTGTACAAGATGTCTCTCTGAGACAAATGCCTAGAACAATGGTAAATTTAGCGTTGCACAACCATGCAACGTGCTATGAATATCAAAATTGCTTTCAAATATTAGTAATAACAATTCGCTCTAACAAAGCCACCCTCGGAGTTAATACATCGCGGTCATTCGAGTCGTTTTCTTAGACGAGTAAATTACCTTCACTGTGTGGAAGAAGTGAAATAAAATTAACAAAGGAAGAAAGAAATCATTAGGGGTAGACAAATAAACCAAAAGCGAACGAAGATGGTTAAGAATAAAGATCGAGGATCGGTATGGATTGAAGAGTGTCAGCTTAATATTTTATCGTGTGCGTGTCTATAAGATATTTAATACTAGCTAGAATCTGCCAGGTTTTCACGCCTGGTAAGAGAGTATATGCAAAGAAAGACCGAAGAAACAGTTACAAGAGAGAACCTGATTCGATGAACAGCAAAAAGTACCTCTGCGTTCTGTCGAGAGTGACAATTCTCCCGTAGTGACACGATTGCGCATGGCAGTTCGAAGTAATGAAGGGTGTAGAGATTGGTGGTTTTCGCGTGTAAGATTGTCTGCTACTTCTTAGGAATAGGCTGTGCCACTGGTTTGGATCGCGTGTTCACGACTGGGTTGATTAAAATGGGGTTACATTTTCAGTAGAGTTAATAGAATAGCGGCGCACATTTGCGAGATTTTGCTCGTCAAAAAAATTCTAGCAATTAGGGATTTAAAAATTGGAAGATTCACGGTTAAAAAGTTGTTACTGTTGACCAAAAGTAACTAAGTTCAGAATAGACTTCAATGGGACAGAGGTTGTAAGAGGCCAGCGGCGCAGAACCAGCAAGAACTGACCCGAGTACCTCAATCCCTTGGGAATGTTTCTCTCTCGCGCGCGGTCGAGTCGGGTTTCATACTTTAGGCAATCCAGGACCAAACATTCTCTATCTATCATAAAAGTGGCACAAAAAGTTGGGACTTAAGAGGACTTGTGAGGAGATATAAGAGAGAGAGATAAAATTGCGGGCGGGTAAAGAACTTTCTAGGGATAAGATTAAAAAAGGCTTCCAGTGAATACACTCGAGAAGCCAGGATTCGGCCGCTAAAACATTCCGTGTTTCAAGTTCATTGTCATTCTATTGTT